ACTGATTGAGTAACCACTATAACACTGACCAAGTAACCCCTATAACATTAACGAAGTAACTCTGATCTTGTAATAGTGGTGACGCGGTTTGACCAGCTACGTATAAAAGTTTGTGATTAAATATATTATAAATGGAATAATATTGAGTTATAGAATATTTTTTAAAAGTGATGATTAATTTTGTATATATGAAATATTAGAATTTTATCAATAATAAAACTTATGCAACAATTTTATCTTAAAAAATCTATACAAAAATCGCTTACTTAGCATCATATGTGTTGCAATAATATTTATTTGTCGCCTACGTGGCTCGACACTTGGCGAAAAACTGAAATGTCAAGTGTCGTTATCTCGTGACCTGACTGCGAGATCAGCTTTATTTATTAGTGATATGATATGATATTAGATTTTTAGTTACTAAGTAGTTTGTTATCTAGTTACGAGTATATTATATTATTTAATATATATTGTAATATATTGACAAAAGGCTATAGCTATCATATTTAATTATGTAGTGTCGTACAAGTCTTTGCAAACAATTAAAAGTGTGAATCCCATTTATGAGAAAGATTATATCCAAGCCTCTACATTTTTGACAATTTTGTTATCTTTGTATGATGACGCAATTTACGAATTTAGTAAGAAATTACTCGTAACTAACATTATAACGATAAGTATTGTTTGGGTACTAAAATGGTCATACCCATTTTAGTCTTGGGTAACTCTACCCATATAAGCCCAAAGGGCATAAAAAAGGTATAAAAGGCCCCAAATAAGTCAAATACATCAATATGGCCTTCAACGGCCCACATATGTAATTTTAGGGCTCATAAACCCACTTATGTACTCATATAAATACCCCTCAAAGGGCATAAGGTAAAGAGAGGTCACTCTTATCATCTAAGATGACCATACTCCTCCACTCTCTCCCCTAAACTCCTCTCAAAATATGCATTGTTTAGCAACTAACTTGGGCGTCGGAGGCTCCGCCCCGGGTTCAACCCCCGGGGCTCGGGGTTCATTTTGCAGGTTCATTCAAGGCCCAAATTCGAGGTTCTCAGACACCCCTCCAAGGCCCGGTTAGCTCATTTTTTGCCGAAACAAGTATTATTGCTTTTCTTCAATTCATCCTCGAGCATAATATTGAAGTCAAATATGTTGTTTTCGTTGACAAATAATTAGTTTAGTTGAAGAAACTAGGCTTTGTCATTACGCCACCTATGTACACATAATACATTATCTGAATGAAGATTTCAAATACTTATCCTCACTAAGTAAATATTACAAGTACAATTAACATGGAATACTTACTTGATTCCTCAAAATTTTATATAGTTTTTTGTTGGAAAATGATAAACATAACTCTTAGGGTTATGAATAAGGAGTCAAAAGTGGTTATATAGTTTATGTGAATTTGTCATGAATTCACAAATTATTTCTATTTTAGGAAATATAGTATTGTCTTAAACATAGCCCTAATTAACCTTTTTGAGTATATGCATTTTAAAAAACACATTGAAATGAATTGATCTAATTAACAAATTAAATCTCATATTTTTGTATGTTTTTGTGAAAATTAAAGACCACATATTGTAATGTATACTTTTTTAAAAAAAATAAAATAAATAAAAAATAAAAAATAAAAAATAATAAACTAAAATGAGACAAAACAAAGTGTTCTAACTTAATTGATAAGAATAATTAGATGTATTCCGCATTAATAAAGGCTATAATTAAATTTGAGTATAAGGTACGAGTAACATAATACTTCAATATGTAAAGTCGTGGTATATAAACCCTATGATAATACTCCATAAGACATTAATAATTAGAAGAATTACACAGTACGAAGTACAACAAATTTGATGCGCAATTATAGCTAACCCTTAAAAATGTCGGCATATACCAATCTGTCTCTATAAATCAAAACTGTAATTATACAAGATTATGGATTAATATAATTAATTCAGATCATAAAGGCAATATAAAACTAGATTAGGTGATTGCAACCTACTATAACGGCATTGAGTACAAATGTTGCATCATCTAACTCCTCTATGGTCACAAAAGTTGATTTTGGTGCAAAGTTGTTACAATTGTAAACGAATTTTTTGTTTTTCTTTGGCATAAAATCAGGGTGAGGGCAGATAAACTTTTGTATCTAGGTAACAAACAGTACAGTTTAAGTGTGTATACATTCTCTTTGCTGTCATACAACATAACTGTACATGCAAATTTGATACTCTAGATAAAATTGACAACGCAAGCAATCTAGTCGTCACCTTTTACTTTAGTAGCTTACATTCATCTTGAAATGTATTCAAGCACGCAATAGTAGATTAGTAGTCTTAGAGATTAGAGTTTATCTAAACCTTGAATGTTCAATTACTATCGATGACTTGACTATTACTCGACGCAATAAATTTGTCCTAATATAAATGTATGACTGTTATCTATACGAAGATAGATATTATGTACATTAATACAATTACAAGCATATACTTCAACACTTGACATTCTCTATTGTTTCTTTTCAATTTATACAAAAGGAATCTCGTACAATTTGATCCTTAAAAACTCAAAACACTAACTTAACAAACTTTTTATAAAGATCACATGCAACTAATTATAAGTTAATAGAGACATAACGAAAAATCAAAAATGACGAGCATACCCTTAATAGCCTCTAATTATTTGTACACATCTATAGTTATTCAAACCATACACAGATTTACACTTTGTAACTCTACTTTAGCTGCATTACTTTGACATTAGCTTTTTACTACTAATTAATTAAGTAGCTGGACATCATGAAAAAGAAAGAAACAAATACAAATTTCTAAATTCAGCTTATAATTTTGACACGGACATGCCAGCTGGACCATAAGTGAGCTGGCATCACCCTAGTGGTTTCCATCTTTTCAAAATTGATTTCGTTTTGTTTTGTTTTCTTATATTTAGTTCTGCACTTCTCTTATCAATTCATAATATAAATATTTCCCAAATTTCTTTTTTAACAAATTTGACCACAAATTGACTTTTCAAAACCTAATAATTATGCATGTGAATGACTCAAAAATGCATATGAATGTGTTTATGTTAGTTTATCGTTAATGTTTCATTTCATTTCAAATATTGAGAACGAAATAATGCTGTATTAAAGTAGATAATAACTCCTCTTTATTTTGTTTCATCATTTATACACAATTTTAAACTATGCATGTGTATGACATTTGATTTAGACTAGGTTTGACGGTCCAAAATTATTTACTACTCCAACTTTGCACGAAGTAATTGCTATGTCCTCTTTGTATTTGATTGGGTGTATTTATTATTGGGATAATACATATGTTCAGAATTTCATGTTATTTTAATTTTACAGCAGAAGTTAGCTGGAAGTTCGTGCTTGCCTCTAGATAATATGGTGGATCAGACGATCATAACGAGAATATTAGAGCTCCCTAATAATGAATAATTATAATTATCCATGTAAACGTTACAAAGTACGAGTATTTTGTACAAGTATTTAAGTATGACTTATACTACATTATATATGGGTCAATTTTTTCCTTTTCTTTCGTATACTAGTCCTAATATTAGTGTGATTTTTATCTTTTATTAGTTTGTTTATTAATCACAAGTTGTAATTTAATCAATTTTGTATGTATCCACACTTCGCATTTTGTGTTGCATTGCCGTAATGCCATTGATCTCTATTACTTACTTTCCCTCGAAAAGCAAATCAGTCATGAAAAGAATACAATTATTTCTTATACTCTTCAAAAAAAGTTTGTATCTTTCTATTAAGGTTGCTGGTCTTGCTACCTACTCTCTACTTTAATTTATAAACTTGTGACTAGACCATTAAACTTGACCTAATATAAAATGATAGGATCTAGATCAATAATGTGTTTAAAATTAATGTGTTAAAATTTATCTGATCATTGAATCATAATTCAAATCTAAATGTTGTAAATTTGATTTGATCCAATTCAAAATTACATACTGTATAGCCTAATTATATGTTTTCAAAACCCAACAAGTTAACTAATCATATTTATACGCGATTCGTAATAAGTTTCTATCATCATAATATGCCCCGACTCATATTAGCCCAACCTAAATCCTTATGAAAAGCTTCCTCACCCAAATAAACCCAATTCAACCAAACGACGCACCTCTAATTGTGACTATATAACATTACATAAAATATTAAAATGTCTAGTAGGTGAATTAGTGATCACTAATTAAAAAAATTTAAAAGAAAAAGAATCTACTTGTATGTTATAATGTTGCCTCAATTGTTTTGTTTTTTCGGGTAATTTTAAAAAGAAATTATACAATTAAAAGGTGTTAGTTCAAAATAATGCATATGGAGACAAGTAATACTGTACTACTACTAGGGCGCTCATAAATATTCAAAAGGTCAAAGTAAATTAACTTTCAAAAACTGTAGATTATTACTCATTATTTACAGTACTATCAAGTGCAATTAAATCATACAGATATACCTGCTTACATATAATGCTTGATGTATTGTTACTTTTTTTTGACAATAAATTAAAGACATACTTCAAGTTATTGCATTATACCGTTACAACTTACAAGTAATACTACTATTAGGAGTTTTAATTACTGTACGACATTTGAATTATAGATACCTATAAATTAGCTTTCACCTTTATTCATGAATATCATAATTGACACCAAAATGTAGCATAATAGACTTCATTCCATCAACAGGTTCATTACTTATAAAAGTTTTTGACTTTTTGTACCCTTCAAAAACACACTCTTGGCAACTCCTCTGTTTTCGCCTTTTCGGTCCCTTATATATTACGGAGTAGCTCATTTTCATTTTTTATTTTTTTACTTTATGAAGAGTTATATTAAGCAAGTAGATAAATTCGTCCTTGTATAAAATGTTAACTAAAATAAGTGACTAATTTTTCCGTAAAGAATTAACATGGGACAATATTAATTAATGGACAAAGGGATTATTCTAAACCACAAATATACATGTGCTCTTGCCTTTGAGGGGCTAAACAGGAATTCAATACATGTATTTCCAAATTCAAGTAAAATTTTATCAACATTTGCAATTTCTTTTTGACGTTTTATTGCTGATTACAATATTTCGTCGTACCACTTTACCCCTCACTTATTACAGCCTACAACTTCACCTTTAATGTCCTCCCAAATTTTCCAAGAAGAAAAATGTAAAAATTGAAAAAAAAAAAAAAAAAAACTATTGGTGTGTGTAACATACAACATGTACCAGAAATAATAGTAATAATAATATTAATCAATAAAATAAAATAAAATAAACCCAAACACTCATTTTATCTTAGATCACACTTGAGTGTAAGAGGTAAATATATATCCCAAAAATCCCTATAAATTTCCTCAATTGGCGGCGAACAAATTTTGCAAATTGTAAGGAGCAACAAGGTTAGATCCTCCACTCCAGAACTCTTTAGAGAAGGCTTGATTAGCCTTGTCTGTCGGGTGCGCAGCGTCGAACCACAAGTACTCACTTGGGTTACTACAAACAGTGAAGCTTTGGTCTTTCTTTTGGCAAGTGAAATCACCATTGTATGATCCACTTCCACAACAAGCTGTTTCGCTTTCCCTAAAACCTGTTATTATCAATTTGACAAATTAAATGTGATTAGATTATGAAATCACCTATTTACCTACTAAACATATAATATATCTATCATATGCTAATGTTTGTGTGAATAAACAAAATTTAATGTCATTTTCAAGGACAACTTACTACAATTTATAATGTCACGTTCCATGAAAAACTTGACTTATGCATGTAACAACTAGCATTCAAGCAAATGTAATATACAAGGACCCACGTCACATGATCTTATTGAACTAGCTAGACATTTTTCAAATCGATTTTTCTTAATCAAAGCCGATTTCTTAGGCTTTTATTTGTACTATATGTAGTATGTACCTATATACCACATTCTATCACTAATCATCGAAACAAAAGCACCGACGATTGCATAGTCTAATTACTACTACTATATTTATAAAGGAAAACCTAACTACGATTAGTTCTTTAATAATAACGCCTCTAGAAATTTACACCCTTTGCCCTTGACTTTATCACGGTCTTCAGTAAGTGCAAATTAAAACAAATCTAACAAAATTTTGATCATTTAATAAATTGTTAGAATAATATGGGCAATAATACAGCCAAAATTAAGAATAGTTGCCCGTACATTAACTATCATAAAATTTAACAGGACATAGAGAAAAACTTCTTGTTGGCTTGTAATAGATCTATGTGAATATGTGTAAGTAATAACCTGTCTCTATGTAATTTTTTAATCGAGGGTCATTAATGTAAAAAAAAAAAAAATTCAAGATCTTGGGACTCGATTTTGTTCATTATAAAAAGAATTGATACACAGCAAGCTGTAAAGGACATGGTGACAAACAATTAAGGTTTAAAGAAACATAGAAAGAACAAGGACACATTAGTTGAAAGCCACTACTTAACCCATTTTAGTGCAACTATACAAGTGTGCATAAAATAATTGAAGGAAAGGGAATCAAATCATATGATTATAACATAAATTATTACTACTAGAACGTACCACCCGTCGAAAATAAAAATTACTAGAACGTACCGTATCTACTTCCGTATATAACACGGAGGTATAAGGAGGTGTAGAAGTCGTAAATTGAGTATTTGAACCCTGGTAGATTGTTTTGCAATCTCTTGGCCAATGCGGCGAATTTTGCATTGTGCATCTTGGCTAGTTCTTGCGGCTCCGGTGCGCATGTTCCTTTGAACGCGAGCATATACTTCATTGATGGCATACACCCAAGAGGGCCAAGGTTTTGGAATGCAAATTTCCTTCCTCCTTGGTTATAGATTGTCTGTATCAATCAAAATCAGATAATGTTAATTTAAAATTAATTTTAAGTAGTACGAGTTTTTAATTAAAAAAAGGATCCTCTTCTTAGAAAGAATCCCATGTTACACTAACTTCTTGTGAGAAATTTACACTTTGTTTGGATTGAAGGAAATAGAGGGAAAAGAAGGGAAGGGAAATGGAGGAATTGATTAATGGAGAGATTTGAAGGAAAAGTAATCTTTCTTCCCTCCCCTCCCCTTCACCTCCCTCCCCTTCTTTTTTTTTCCCATTTCTTTATCCAATCACACCGTAAAAGTCAAATTGTATCACATGTAAGTTGCTACGCATCAAAAAGACCTACCCTAACAAGGTGTTGAAAAACCGTACGTGTTGCCATCCCTTATTCCCACCTTGTATGAGACCACTTCTAAAGGAAAATACTCTTAATATCTAAGTCAGAAGATGATTTCCCAATTTGTAATTACCAAGTTGCTCCGTAAAGTTTATCTTTCATCCAAGGCATTACTTAAAATGAACTAGCTAATCACTTCCTTTGTTAGAGAGAATCCACATCATATCCCATTAGTTCAAAAACTCCAAATTTAGCAAGACAATAAAGCTATGTCACATCTACTAGAAAGTACGCAAATAGAGCGGTGAATTGGTTAGCTAATGTCTAGCACGTTCTTAGTCATCTTTTCTCATGATATGTTTGTCAACGATGCTAATCTTAGTTTTTGTAACATTCTATTATCATAGTATAGCATGCCATGTACTCCGTATTCACAATTCGGGTTAGAAATCGACACCGCTATGTAAAACCCAATTCAAAAGTATAACTTTAACCAAATTTCGGATTAGAAATTGACAACGCTAGTAAAACCCAATTCACAAGTATAACTTTAACCAAATTAAAGTTTACGATAAAAAAGCGAAAAAGTAATTAAAGACGAAAAATAAAAAAGCAAGAATAATCAAGAATTCTTACTTTAATATGTATAGTGAGGTTGCCAAGAATCATATTCATCTGGCGATTCCTTTTGAAATTGGAGAGAGGAAGCTTTTTAACATTCTTCTGAAGAAGGGTAACATAGTCATTTCCAGCAATGTTAAACAAGTATACAGCTTCAGATAACAGCTTATTAGCTTGCGCTTCTCCAACCTGCTGCTTCAATTTTTGCACCATTTGGACAAAATAATCTATTTGCCTCTTCAAATTTATCTGGACCCCCAAAAATAAAATAAAATTAATATCAATCCATAAGATAAGCATACAACATAGAAAAGAGGATCCAAATCCAATCACCCCAATTAAAAATTCGTATGATCTAATGAAATTTCAATACCGTAACCAATTAAGCTAATTGACATTGAAAAAATCTTAAAATATATGGCGCGTATACAAGGAAGTTGTCACATCAAATAAATTTCTCCTCAGATTTGCCACAAGTGCCAGCTAGCTAGAGAAGTTGAGCTCATGATATGCATTAAGTTATACTTATATCAAAGATGCCTAAAGTAGTGATTTTAAAAAAAAAAAAACAGATGCTAAAGTTGGCATTTACTTCAACTTTTTCACTATTAGCTTGTGATCTTTCGTCAGAAGGGGTAATAAATGGACTACATTTTTTCACCTACCAACCTTTTTTTATTATTTTCTACCAATTAAATCTCGTGATATAAGTCAATAATCACAGTAAAAAAAAAAAAAAAAGTTCAGTTTCAACCAGTACTAGATTTAACTGATCTCAAGCTAATTTTCACTAATTTCTATTATTATTGTTGCTTCATCTTCACTTCAATTTCTTCAACAAATTCTATAATTTCAACCTTAATTATTTAGTAGGTCAGCTTAAACTTTTATTCAAGTAATTTTAATTTTATTTCTTTGAAAAAGTACACCGACAGAAAAAAAAAATGATTGAAATTGTCAGAGAAAAATATAATTCAAATGAATTGATATGACATACCGTTTGAGGACGAGTTTCAACAAGAACACAAGCACCAGCTGAAGCAAAATTAATTCCTTTGGTATAATCTTTTAACCCAGGTAACAAATAGGGTTGCAAAAAAGGCAACCCAGCAAATTGAGCTGAAAAAAAAAATATATATATATATAAGCTTAAACTTTTGGTTGAGTTGATATTAACTAAAACAATGGTACAAACGTCGTGAATAATAATTACTGACCAATGAAATCGGGGATAAGACGTCCATCAGAGTATCGACCAGACGGTTTTTTAAAATAAGTTTCGCCATAAGGCCAGTACTCGGCCCCCGCGCCTTTGACACCGTTGTATAAAGTCATACCATCGTCGTAAAGCGAATCGCCGAAGACATAAAGAGGGGGTTTTTGGGCATTGGAGGGGGATAAGGAAAGAAAGAGTAGTGTGGTGAATATGAGCAATGTAGGAAACATTTTGGTTGTGATCTTAGGAATGTGAGATTCAATGGAGAAGTGAAAGCTGGGTTGATTTATTTGATTTAAGTAGTGAGTAATTTATTTATGTGCAACCAAAATCTAAATGAAAACCAAACCAGCTTTTGTGTTGGGGTCTTAATTATTTGGTATTCCAACTGTTTGAGCTAAAGGTAAGGGACAGGATTTTATTGTATTTAAAGGAGTGAAGGGGGGATTTTTTTAATATTATTTTCTATTTTTTTTTTTTAGAGTGAACTTATTTTTTTTTATTTGTAACGAGGGAAGTTATGTACCGCGTTGCTTTTTTGACACTTTGTTTTTTGAAACATTTTTTTATGAGGCTGTGATTTTTTTACTACTCCGACGTATTAATTTTGAATTTATATGAATTAAAAAAAAAACACTAATGTCAAAGTAGTCGTTTTGTTTTAAATAAAATTATTGTAAGCTGGTAATTGAAGTAAAAATTGAAAATGATACTACATTCGAAAAAGATGTTAACCTATTGTATTTTGTCAATAATTACAAATTTTACTTTAAGAATTGTTTGTAGCTCTTATTTAAGGATTTTTTTTTTTTTTTTGAGGAACTTATTTAAGGAAAATTTAATTATGTAGGCTATTATTAAATGTGTTTTAAAATGTATTTTTAATGTAACCACTTTGTATTACTTTAACAATAAAATACTCTTTTTGTTCTTTTGGTTGTTACATTTGAAATCTTGAAAGATTCTATTCAAAATGGTTTCTATAAATCTAACGGTTAGTTTATAATTCAATATGTAATCATGTGAGATTTTATTAAATTTGTTTTGATTTTTTGTTTTCAAATACATAATTTTATAATATTTTTTTATAATATGTAACTTTAGATATTTTAATTATAATTATATGACATCTAAAATGTGTAAAAAGTAAATGGATACAAAAAACAATGGGAGTATTAGAAACACTAATACTCATCATTTTACATAGACAGGATTAAGAGTTTACGTATTTAAGAAACCAAGCTAGTGTAAAAATATCTATATCTTATATATTTCTTCCCTTTTTTTTTTCTTTTTTTTTTTTTCCTTTTCTTATTTAGTGTTGGGAAAAAAAAGTGAAAATTCAATCTTAAAAGTTAAATGGAACAACTACGTTTGAAAATGATTTAAATGAGGAATAATAATGAGGGTTCTTATTGACTACCTAAATCAAAGGACCTTCTTTTGAAATTTCACGGAAATACCATAAAAGGTGGAATAGGTGGGTGTTGAGGTTAGTACTTAGTACTCCTATACTAATTACATTTAATTTTCTGAAATTAATGAATTGATGATACATTTTAGCGTCCTCTTTTAATCTAGGACATTCAATACAACTGCGCATAATATTAGGGTTTTGCTAGATTTTTATGAATAACCATCGTAATTATACTTTTAAATGACATTGAATTATAAATAATAATGGATATGATTATTATGTTATGTGTCGACATGTAGTTCATCAATCAATTAACTTTGACCATTTTATACTTTTATTAACTTTAATATTGAACATTGACACCATTTAAATTTATGGCCGGAGGCCGGGTTTTATGAGTAGTACTAATATTAACATTAATATCTAGCTAAATGTTACACTACTTATTATTGGTGGTCTTTAAGTTTGAACCTCTAGTGTTGACATATACATCCTTCATTTAAAAGTAAAAATGCATTATTTGAGACGTTTGAAATAATTTATTATCCTTTACAAAATATTAATGATACAGAATTTTATACGATCAAGACCTCAATTTAATTATTTAGATTGCGTGAAGATAGAATATGATCGATCATATATAGACATTGTTGACACACGTCTTTCTCTTCTCATACCATCAATCCTAGATTTTAGGTGATAGTATCTTGCATGGTTTATGTAACCGATCTCACACTTTTGAGTAAGACTTTATTTGTCTTTCTCTTTCCATCATCACTAAATTGAATACTAATCAAAACAGAAAATCTTTCTAAAAATGTACTCTATACCGTGTTGATTTCGTAGTAATATACTATAAACCCAACATAATAAATTAAAAAAGTTACTCGTTATAGCAATAAAATTCTTATAAACTACGTTCTATATTATAATGGAACAATATATAAGATCAAAAGTACAAAATTAATATAATTAAGAATTAATTCTTTTTTTTGACAAATTAAGAATTAATTCTACAAATACTATAATTAGCAAGTTCAAGTAATCTTATTATAATCCTAAAAAAGTAAAAGTGGTAAGTAATTTGACAGGGAGCAGAGACGAAATGATCAAAGGTAAATAGAATCCAAAAAATCGATAGCGTGGCCAGCCAAATTTATGAACCTAAACTCATCACTAAAGGAGGTTATCAAGGCATAATCACGCTGTCAAACCACATTATTTGAATGATTTTATTTTATGTAAGATTTAGTTTTCGTACATAATGTATATATCTAAAATTTATGTATGTATCATACATCTTCCTGCCTTAAAAAATGCACTTTTTTTTTTTTTTGAAGGGATCCGTCCTCCTACTTATTGGAGTTATTATTGCTTGTGATTCAGTTTTGGTACTTGTATTTATCGGTATTCATGCCATAAGAAATGCAGCTAACTCTCACCTTTTGCTTCTACTAATTACTATGCATTATATATTGTCCATGAGTATCGGAATGGGAAACAAATGTGTTATACATAACCTACCAAATTAGATCACGCTCTCCTAAACAATCTACCTATACGGTTATTTTGTGGATAAGACTTTGCAGGCTAATTTTGGTTTTGCTCTTTTAACTAGCTACTAGACGGCTTTTATTATACTACTCATAGTGTTCATACAAAGTACTTGCCATACGAAATTATTACTATGTGACGGTATAATAGTCTCAACTAATTGCTCGATTACAATTGAACGTATCAATCAGTAACTACGAGTACCAATTATATATCTAAACGCGTTATATTGAGGATTGACTTTACTGTGCAGGCTTTACATTAAAAATAAATATTCATTACTTTTTTAGAAGTATTTATGATAATAGTCATCAATATATTTATGATAACTAGGTTAATAAACATGAATACATAAATCATGGATCATAAAAACCTGGATAAATAGTTGACAATTCATGTAAAAAACTTGTTAATTTTTTTACGAATGGAACATAATCAACTACTACACTTAATCAAAGAAGAGGACTTTAAACTCAATAAATAATACGAAGTATTTGGTTTAGGCTTCTCAAATTCTCATTTCCTTATATTATAGTGTACGAGCAGTCTATTTTGTTAAAATCTTAAGAATTGCTAGACCTAAGAATAAAAAAGAGATTAATTTGCGCCCTCGTCTAATAATCTTACGTATAGCTAGCTTAATTAGCTACATTTAAAACTTAAATTAAAAGATGACAAATTTATAATACATTGTTGATTGTACATGTCAAACGTTTAAGTACAATTAGCAACAAAATCAGGACTCAAGCAAGAATTGGATTACGTAAGTTGATTGCTACTGTATTAATTAAGATCATGAAGTATATATCTTGCATAATTAGTTTAAAGTTAATATTGTATAGTAGCAGCATACGTAACTCAAATAATTATAAATTATAGGTAAATGAATTGACATACACCCTCTATTCATGGACATATAATTATTAATAATGCATTAGTTTGTATAAGCGAGTTTTGTCGGCCAACGACAATTGTCTGTTCTCCAACTTTGATTTTTGGAAACCCTGTAACAAATAGCGCCTCTTCCTCAAATTAATGAAAAAGGAATTTGCATACGTTAGTACGTTACTACGTACAAGCTATACATTTCTTTTTTTTTTTTTTTTTGGAATTAATGATCATAAATGTGTTAACTAGCTATTTGATTGTTTACATACACTATAAATTACCGTGTAGTAAAGTCGGTTTAGATAGATATAAAGTAATATAATTGCAAACAAAATAAGGGGAATAAATCAAATAAAGAGTAATTGAGAAGACCTTCATTAAACAAATGTAATATTTTAAAACAGTTGAAATTAGAGAATGTCATATATATGTTCTAAAGTAGAAATAAATCACAATTAGTATTTCTAATGTAACCCCCTACTTAAATGGAGAAGTAGGTGGCCTGGTTGTATAAATATTCAGTTCGGACTGAGAGATTATTATGATAAAGTAACTATATATTAACCACGACTAGCTAATAATGGTAATCTGAATTCAATTTGGCTTTTATTTATGATGAATATAAAGTCAAACAAACTCTTTAATAAATAGATGAAATTATATTTATAATTTGCTCAATGAAGTCAATAATCATGTATTGGATTATATTCACTTACACAAGTATGCAAATTGATCTTGTAGTGCAGAAGTAATGTAGACATGTAGTAGTAGTACTAGTAATATACATATACATACTTGTATAAGATAAGATAATTAATTAATCAATTCAACCACCACAAAATTACAACTAACGTTATTAATTATAGTATATGCTTTACACAATTATGCATGTGGTTATGCTATTCTTGTCCCTCTAATAAATCCATGCATGCATATTATCAAACATTCCGCTGGCTCTGCAGAACAAGAATGGGTTGTTATGGGTCAATAATTCATATGATGGCTAAGAACCCCAAATGATTTATACTAATCGATTCTTTTTTAGCCTTTTTTCTTTGGAAAATCTTTATTAAATTAATTAGATTATTACCCTTAAGCTAGGACTTTTTTTTTTGGCTTAATAATAGCACGAACGAATCTTATCATTTAAAAGACAAAAAATAAATAAAAATAAAATGGAAAGTTTTCTATTGTTAAATGTTTATCTTTACTCTTGTTTTTTTGGAGTACACCGTAACTAACAATTAGCAACAAGATTAGAATGAGATTTCTTAACATATAGTAAAAGATTATGAAACATTATTAAGCTAACTAATGATAGTTCGATTTTATATAATTCATTTTATCTAGTATGTATTAAGTTGTTTTGTGCTACTTGTATACTCTTTGTTTATTTTTGGTCTTAATATTTAATTTATTACTAGTACATTATCTTCTCCAATGTATATAAATATATTAAAAAGTATTATAAGGCCGGTGTGATATGTTGTTAGCTCAATGTATCTGTATTTCGTAACGATTTCCTTAAAAATGCAATTAAGTTGTTAATTACAACGAAGGTTAAAGTTTTGCATTGAAGACTCTAAATTGTAAAACAAAATGAAATTTGGAAAGTACTATAGTACGTATGAAGTCTTTGCACCTTTCATGAACCAACTACCTAATACAGAGTACAATTCAACGACTAATAACAACATTAGTTATATAATACAAGTTAATTAATTCCATAATTTGCATGCATAAATCACATATTCACATGGTAGGAAATAAAAGTAGTGCCTTGTAAAGCTAGAGTTACAACTTTTCTAATAAACACATGTGGTAGGAATAAGCTAGGGATTTAATTTAAGTTCATGAACCATATGATTAAGTTTATAATAATGTCTCCATAAAAGTGGTTTAATGAAAATATGCTAATCCTAGTTGGGTAAGATATAGTAAATATCTTATCAATTACTCATCATCAACAAAACAATAAAAAGAACAAATAAATCAAATTCTAACACCCAAAACATAAATATAAATTAAAATAAAATAAAAAAAAGTGGTCCAATTAATAATATTCCAATGCTTTTAGGAAAGGGTCCCAAAAAAAAAAAGAAGAAAGCACAAGTGTAAGGAAAAAGTACCAAAGGAATTGGGTATAGAGGACACAAAACTAGGCAGGAAGCAAGAAGAAAAAAAGGAAGTTGAATTTAGAGGAAGCGGGCCGGGCTTGTTGGGCTTGAAAGGACTTATGGGTGAAGTTGAGTTGCGTAAAGCCACCCCGCTGGCTGCTGCATGAACGGGCCCACTCAACCAAATGTATCGGCCCCCCCTTTGAATATGGTTTAGGTGGAGCATTCTTCGCAACCCCAAAAATCTTCCTTGTAAAACATTCATTTTTATTGGACCACCGTCCGGTGCATGGATTTTTTTTTATTTGGTGTGTGTGATGATGTGTAAATTATTGAATTTTTAGATAATAGATTATGTGCGTGTTAATCCACGAGATATACAAGTAACTATTTTATAACGAATGACAATTTTGATAGCAATAGTGGATGGATATAGTTGGATGTTTAGGAGAGAGTGGACAGTTTTTTTTTCGGAATTAGGTATTGGAGAATTGTGGTTAAAAATTAAAGGAATTTTTGACAAATATCACCATCAATTGTTGGTGTTTTAGTAACTACCACTTACAGGGTTTTTTATTTTACCACGGATTTTTTTCAATTTTATTCCAATGTTCTTCGATTTTTGAATTGCAAATCCAAATTATATAAACAAACCACTAAATTAGGTACCTAATTTACAAAATTGGGGCTAATTATAAGATGAAGTTCATCATTTAGGGTTTTGAAATGAAATTAGGAGTTTGTTATTTAGTGTTTAATTTATGAAATTGGGACTAGTTTGCATCGATTTAACGTATTATGTCTTCAATTAGTACCAAAATTGATATTATTGTTAAGAAATTATTACTAATTATTGATATGAAAAATTAGGGTTTATATGTATTTGAGGGATATTTAAAATCAAACGTTTTTCTAAATTATGAATTACAATCCTAAATTGAGCATATATATTAGTTTTATATAGAGTTAATCAATGTAAATAATGCTTAATTTGAAAAATTATCTCAATTTGAAAAATTCCCTGAATTTGGGATAAACCTTAAATGAAGAATAACAAATTATAATTGACACATATTAGCTTAATTAGTGACTTAATTATGTTCGTGTGAGCTTGAATTATGTTAAATCGACTACTAAATGATTTTTTCCTAATCTAATTTTAATTTATATTGAAAAAAATCATTGAACATGAGAATCGAGGAAGAAGGCATGATGACGTCATGTATGAGGGCTTGGGAAATCTTCATGTTTTTAAAAATAGTAGGTGGTAAATTACAAAAAAAAAATAAAAATAAAATAAAATATAGGTGGTTATTACCAAAAAATTCAAAATTAAAAGGATTACTCTTCTTTTGTTATGTTAGATTTAAAGCTTACTAGACTTTGATGATGAAGGGATTCAAGTCTAGCTAAGCTTTTGACCATAGAAACTAAGCCCTTCCTACACACCAAGTTTTCTACATTTCCAAAGCCAAAACGAAATCAAGAGCTTCTTTAGTTTAGATGGAGCAAATCTTTTGTTAACTGATCCAAGTAGTACAGTATATACTACTTAATTAGGTCTATAATATATACGAAGTATGTTGTATGATTTATGGTACATCTAATTATTGTTACAGTATATTGTATCTTAATCATTTGTAATTATGAAAATTTAGAGATTATCCACTAAATATGCACTAGGAGTTTCCTTTAATGAAGGTTTAATATTTCTTTTTTGCCTTATTACCTTTCTACAATATTTATAATTTTATATACGTTATTGTGTGTTTTGTTCTTGATAATTTAATATATATCCCTTGTCTTTTTTTGGAAAAAAAACTAATCCACCAATACTTTAAATGTGTGTCATCAATTCAGGAAAAGAATCTTCTTTGTCTAGGCCTACCTGTAATCTTGAAAAGCAAAGCAGCCAGACATCCTAATTCGTCCTCTTGGAAGTGTGTTGAATTTTCTCTTTCAAAAGTTGCTTCATTTCTTTGAAAATTCTTTATACCAAGCTAAGTATATCGTATATTATTCTCGTGTGAGTAGTTTTTATGGCAAAAGAAAGCTAAGGCAAGCTTGTTTAATCATTATTGTCCGTAATTAGATTATTTATATCTCGTATGCTATTTTCCTCCCTTTGAAACAGTTGTCACCTCCATTGTTTATACTACACATATACTATACCGATTGTTGAAAATTAAATCATAATTTCCTAATCAATAGTAGTATCAATACGAGTACTATTGATTGATGATTGAATTTTTCAAGATCATGTTATATTTAGTTTAGATAGCAAACTATGACAACTTGTTAATGTATACTCCTTATTACGTAATACTTATTTTTTTCCTATTGATTTCATCATCAACTTAATTAATAGGTTCCCGACAAGCTAAGTGAACAATGTATATACAGATATGCATAAATTTGTTTGAAAATAAACATTAAGAAACGCATATTTAGTAAGTGTAGACACATCATACCATCTACTCCGTACTAGGATACTTTTTAACATTTCAATTAGCTTGTAAAAGCCAAAGTGAGGACAAATATACGGAGTGTTCAAGAAGGTGAAAGCTAAGATAAGGATAGGGGTTAAAAGTTACGTGGTAGTTATTTGAGGCCAAGTTTGAAGTTTCTAAGTTTAGACATACCACATACATTAAAGTAAAGTTGTAAAAGATTTTTTTTTTTACTTTTGTCGTTTGTAACTATTGGAAGTAAGTCATTTTCGTGTTTTTCATAGTGGAAGAGCTGTAATGGTTTAGAAAATGAATACTACGTCCAAAATATAATACTTACAAAATTTAATTGACAATATAGTAAACGTGCTATGCTATACTATATGAAGTACTTTTTATTCATTTATATTATTGCCATTTGGTGGCTCAAATAATTGTACCTCACAAGTGAGAGCAACTCCTAAAACGAAGTATTTTGGACAACCAATCATTAGTAGTGGGGAACAAGATACAATCGATTGACGTAGTGAGTAATTAAAATACAATCGATTTTATTCATTGCTACCATCATTTCATTAATTTCTTCAAACTTTACCTTTTTACGGTTGTCAATGTTATATTTTGACTATTAATATTTCTAGTAAAAAATATATAAAAAAATTAATATCCCAAAAATTCTTGCACACATTGAGACAAATTTAACAAAATCGCATGTAAATATGGTTTTCCTTATGTATAAATTTAATTACAAACGATGATCAAAGCGCAGTTTGTGATAGTGCTAAAAGTCAAAGTGTAAATTAAAGAACTTGAAGAGACAGAGGTTTGCAAAGTTTATTTTAAATGTGGCAAATCCTTTTTGAAAATATTAAAAGATACTCTTCTTTTGTCTATTACTTCGTACAAGAAATAAGATAGGGAGAAAAGTCGTTCAATCGAACTAGAGATTTTTAATTATGGCAACCATATTCTTTCATGACAAGTGAAGCAATGATATACACAATGAACTGCAAGATATAGCAAAATTTCGTAAAGAAGAAAAAATCTTTCTCTAGGTTTATTTCTATCATCCTCCTTGAGTAGGAAATGTCAGGAAATTTAATCATAATTCATCATGTAACTATTAAATCTAAACATAAGGCGAAGAAAGAATACAACGTGAAATTCACACTTGACATATACATTAGTCATTAACGTTTTGTTTTCTAGTAATTTGTTTCTACTTGAATTATTTAATTTGCTTTCACGTATTAAAGTTTATGAACTTATGCCGTCTAAAATAAGTCAAATTAAATCAAACATAGCACACTGCAATTGTATAGCTTTGTAGATGCTTTGAATTTATAGTGGAATATAGTTTAACATTTCATATTAAAAAAATTTGAAAAAAAAATATTAAAATAATTTTGGGACTAAGGCTTTGTTATTGTATTAAAATTGAAAAAAAAGGGCTAAACATTTGCTGTACTTCACATGCTGTCGATCCTATTGGGCCAGAAGCCCATTTTTTGGTTGGACCGCTTATATCATCGGGCTGCAGTACAACATCCACTGGCCCAATCTGTTTTCCCATTCTTATACTGCCGAGGCCCACCATCCAGTCTTCATGATCAATTACTGGTTCAAGAATTTAGTGCTGCTAAATCTTTTTTCAGCTCAAAACTACACACAAAAATAATTTTTGTAAAAAATAGTATACTTTCGAAATTTCTGCCTAAAACTAATAGTTACATTACCCTTAACATATGTAGATTAAGAATATATTTTTTCACGGTTCAAACCTCGTGACTAAGAATATGACACAATTGTACATGACTACATGTTCACCTGAACGACTATTCTATTACTTGCCCTAATACTACTAATACTAGTGCTTTGCATAATGTAAATTTCTTTTTTTCTAAACTTGCAAAATATATTTGTATTTGACTCTAATAACCGAATGAAGGGACTACATAGTAGGAGGTTTAAAAGAGCAAGTGGACCTTTGCTTGATCAGTTGCAACGAGCTATGTGAGGAGGTTTAATCAACTCATGGCCAAGAAAGTCTGCAAGTTACAAGGAGCAACGACGTTGGGTCCTCCCAACCAAAATTCACTCGCGAATTGCTCGTTAGCTCTATCGGTAGTATGCCCTGCATCGAACCATAAATAGTCGGCTGGATTGCTACAAATTGAGAAGCTATGCCCTTCCTTCTGGCAAGTGAAGCCGCCGTTGAAGGGTCCACTTCCACAACATGCTGTTTCACTCTCCTTGAATCCTATCATCCATAATTTAGGTGATGAATTATTAGAGTAGATCCTAAAACATCTGTACATATTATAGTTACATATATGGAGTACTATTTTAGGACGTGTGATAAAAAGGAATTGAAACATTGTCACATAGACGTACCAAATCTATTGCCATTTAAGACACGGATGTGTAAGGAGGTGTGAAAGTCGTATATTGTGTACTTGAACCCTGGTAACCGGTATTGCAATCGATTAGCTAGTGCAGCGAATTCAGCGTTGTACATCCTGGCTAGCTCTAATGGCTCCTCGAGACAACTTCCATCATAGTGTAGCATAGACTTCATTGATGGCATGCACCCAATAGGTCCTACGTTTTGGAACGCAAACTTCCTTCCTCCTTGGCTATAGATTGTCTATATAATCGAGGACATACATAGACAACGTCATTAGTTGATTAGTTTGAATGATTAGTCCGGGGTTTTGTAAGACTGTGAGTATAGGTTATGTTTGGCAGAACCATGTAGGTTAAAATTTCTTGTATATATCTTTTATTATTGTCTTCTTATATCCAATGTCACACACATAATCAATTGAATGTGAAGCTAACCCCTTAAATCACAACATACTAAAGTAGAAATTAGATTTAAGAAATCTTACGTAAATGTGATTGGTAAGGTTACCAAGTATCTGGTTCACGTAGTCTCCCTTCAAAAAAGGGGAGAGAGGGAATCCTCCCCTATTTGTCTCGAAAAGGCTAAATAAGTCATTTCCTCCAATGTTAAACAAGTAAACTGCTTTGGATATTATCTTATTGGCCTCAAATTCTCCAACTTGCAGTTTCAATCTATGAAACATCTGGTTGAAATAGTACATTTGCCTCGCCAAATTTATCTGGAACAAAAATTTATGAACAAAATGATGTAAATTAAGTTTTGCTACTCAATAATGTAAAATGTTACCTTATGTTAAGATTATTGAAATGTACTAAGAAGTACGAAGTATATAGTAACAACAGAACTTACAAGAAGTAATTGATGGATTTAATTTATTTTCTCCGAGATCCCCAATCATAATCCCAAAACTTCAATAATATTTTACTTAATTGTTTAAAAATAAACGAACTTATTTTACTGTATTTTAGTTATAAATTGAATTTGAGTAACCTTTACTAGAACTTATCTGAACAATGAAACGACCACTTTTTAAGGCCATATGTTAGTAATTCTTTTAGAAGAAATGTAATTGAATCACTTTATGAAGCTCATTGCATCTAGCTCATCGCCAGTTATTAAAAACATAACAGTTCAAGGCTCAAATGCACAGAAATGAAAGAAAGGGATTAATAAATTATCAAATTTTTAAAGGAATTGATATATCTATTCATTTTCTATATAAATCCTATTAATGCTCACTGCCCAAAAATTTAAAAACGACACAAAACGTAAATTTAGCAAATAATAATAAGAAAAATAAAAAAATAATACCGTTCCTGGACGAGTTTCAACCAGCACACAAGCACTTGCAGATGCAAAATTAATTCCTTGGGTAAAGTCCTCAAGCCCTGGTTGCAAATATGGCCGCAAAAATGGCAAACCCACATATTGAGCTGCCGTAACATGTACACATACACGAGAAAAAAATATTGATTAATGGAAACCACTCGAATCACAGAGTTCATTTTACATTAGGTAACAATATATGTTAGTGGTCAAGTAATTGCTTAGTTGAAACAAAACGTATTGAACAAATTTTAATGGTAGCAATATATATACATACCTAAGAAATCTGGGATTACACGACCATCACTATACCTCCCAGCAGGTCTCTTGAAATAAGTCATACCATAAGGCCAAAACTCGGCACCGGCTCCCTCGACACCGTTGTACAAGGTCATACCGCCATCATAGAGCGAATCGCCGAACACGAATAAGGGAGTCTTGTCTTGGGCATTGGAGGTGGTAAAGAGTAGAGTTGCATATAGCGTCAATGTTAGCAATATGTTCCTTGTTCTTCTTCCCATGAAAAAAAAGTCAAAGTGTTTAAATTTGTGCATCAAGAATTTAAAACCAGCTTTATTTGTTATATTTTCTGGGTTAAAATTTAGAGTGTAAATTAAGTGAAATATTGGATGATACAGAGTTTGATTAAATGGAAGCACGTTAGTGATTAATTATTAGGACGTGGTATGCATTCTACCGTACTATGCGCGGTCCATATTTTATTCATAAAACATCATATATTATGATTTATGAATTACAGTATAATTTATGATTTTCGATTTTCAATTAAAGATTAGGGAGTATCATGTTTAACGGTAGATTATAAAGAGTAATATTATTTTAAGGTTGATATTAATGGCCAATTTTCCGTGAAACAAGTATTAGTATTGACTATTAAATTAAGTCGTTTATTATCATCAATTTGTAACTTATTATAAAAACAAAATGATAATAATAATAAAAATAAAATTAAATGGTAACATTGAAAATATACATGTAAATTGAAAGTTTGAAACATTCCATCCAAATACCACATTGGTTAAACCAGTTTACCATACCGTATTTGTTGGCTAAACAATATCAAAATTTTAAATTTTTTACATCAAATATGAATAGCTCAATGGTGTGATCAGATGGTTTGACATTGAATTTATTTATAGCTACTATGGAGTATAGTACATCACTAGATTATATCATCTGTAAGTTTAGCAGAAGTAGTCAAGTACACTCCAACCTTTTTTAAAATAAAATAAAAAAATAGATCATTTTCTACTTAAATTTGATACTTTACATAGAATTTTTGTACGAAGTATACTTTATACAGTATTATTGGATATGTCGTGATAAATATCAATAATATAACATAATACTAAAATAGACACCGAAAATGACACATGTCACTTTTTAATGTCGTTTTTATCCTCCAAAAACCATTTTCCAAAAATAAATATATTATAATTTTATTTTCTTTTAATATCTTTTATATTGACAACTTATTTAAGCAATAAAATTATACTCGTATTTTTTCAAAAAAAAAATAAAAATAAAATTATACTCGTATATATTTAATTTATATATTATAATAGAATTAATGATTCTTTTTTTCTTTTTTTTAATAAATAGAATTAATGATTCTTATTACTAATATTAATATTATTTGCAATATTTTCTAATATATTAAAATTCACATGAATTTAATTTATAGTACGAACTTTTTTTTTTAAAAAAAAAATCTTTACATTATATTGCATCAAATAGACTTTAACACATAAATATATAACTATAACAATATATTATTATATTATTATATATTATAATAAAGGTGAAACCAGATTTGATATGTCATCTCCTTTATAAAAAGTTTCACACCAAAATATTATTTTTTATTTTTATATTTTTGCCAAAGCTTCTTAGAGAATATTTAATACTATGCAATAATATTTCCCTCACTATTTGGTAATTATATTCCATTTATACACATTCAACAAAATATTATTTGTTTATTTAATACTATGCGATAATATTTTTCTACATATAACTTTGTGATGTAATCCATAATTATTTTATTAGTCGTGCATGTAATATTCCCATTATTTTCTTTAGTATGATATAATTTTATTATCATTTCCGTAATTACGAATTTTTTTATCTTATTTTGCAATTTGATAATTATTATAATTAAATATAGTGTTAAACTAATAATAAATAGTGAAAATTACCGTGCATGGCACGGAACCTAATCTAATTACTATATAATATTAAAATTTTATAATCTATTTTATTAAATCCTTACATACGTTACGGTAAAAATAAAAATAAAATAAATAAAAATTAAAAAAAATTAAAAAAACCTATTATGGCAACTGAAAAAATGGGTTGTTTCAACTTTCAAGCTTTGAGTTGGGGAAGCAATCAAAATATATAAATATCGAGAAAGGTCCAGTTTATCTCCATTTATCAAATGACAAACTCGTAAATAAATCAACAATTTTATCTAGTCAGCACGACATGTTGGTAAATAAATCAAAAACTGTGGGCCATATATGAAAGTTGTTGATTTATTTACATTTTTGTCATTTTTTTTATCCTTTTTTATTAAAAAACAATACCGTTTTTTGTCTAGTCAGCATGGCAATTTGATAAATAAATAAAAAACTATAAGACCCATATATGACAAAAAGTTATTAATTTATTTACATATTTTCCCTTTAATAAACATATTTTGTTTATCAAGGAGATAAAGTTGTATTTTCTCATAAGGATCCTCCTCAAAATAATTCATCTTGTGTAAGAAAACAAAATGCTAATGCGTTAAAAAATAATTTTTCATATGGGCTGATACGCTGGTAGTCTGGTACCCATCATCATCCATGTGACAAGATAATCAAGGTTTATTAATTGATCTTATTCGCTCTACCAAATCTAATAATCTATATTCTCCTCATATTAATATTATAAATTTATATGTATGGTATTTAATAAATAAAAAAAAAAAAAAGAGTAAATAAATAAGTAAAAATCTAGTAAAAATTTGCTGGTTCTCACATGCTGTTGATCTTATTGGGCCTGAAGGCCTACTTATGCAGGTTGGTTGATCTGTAATCTGCTTCTACTAACTTGGATTTGATTAATGAGTGTGTCATTGGGCCAGTACAACAGCTATAGGCCCAAAAAAAATTATGTTGCTCATGCTGTTCAGCCCCATTATACAGTCTAAATTCAAGAATTAAGGTTTGTGTTAAGCCATCAAATCCATTGTACTATATTATTTAATCGCTTAATTACAAGTAATAGTATTGCAAGATATAATTATGCTAAAGTTCTTGTAATAACTCAAAACTAAAGATAAAAAGAATCTTTGTAGAAAAAATAATTGGATTCCATTTGGAAATACTAGTCACATCGTCTTCCTAAGACCTCATGACAAAAAATGACACAATTTTACATGCCCTTTACAATTGTTGGACTATTTTCATACTTTCCCTAAGCACTCAAATCTACAAACGGTATAATGACAACATTTACGATGTAATACAAACAGCAATGTGACAACTTTTTTCGCACATGCTACAAGTAGTATATATGTCACTATTATTATCGAATGACACCTTTGTTTCATCCATTGCTAAGAGCAATGTGTGATGCCGCTTTCATTCAACTCATGGTCAATAAACTCTTCAAGTTGTAAGGAGCTACAACGTCGAGTCCTCCCGACCACATTTCACTTGCAAATTGCTCGTTAGCTTTCTCGGTAGGATGACCGGCGTCAAACCATAAATAATCGGGTGGATTGCTACAAGCTGAGAAACTGTGCTCCGTCTTCTGGCAAGTGAAGTCACCGTTGTACATTCCACTTCCACAACATGCTGTTATACTTTCCTTAAAACCTATCACACATAATTGATATGAAGAATGTAATCAATTAGATCAAATTCAACTTTCTAAAATTAACATTATAGTCACGTAGAACGTCTTTTTTTTTGTTGTTAAAAGGAATTCAAAACATAAACGTACCATAACTATAAGCATTGTAGACACGAAGGTCTACAGCGGTGTAGAAGTCGTATATTGAGTATTCGAACCCTGGCAATCGTTTTTGCAATTTGTTAGCCAGTGTAGCAAATGCAGCGTTATGCATCCTAGCTAGCTCATCTAGATCAGCTAAACAGCTCTTTTCGGGCCGTAGCATACAAAGGGTCTTCATTGAGGGGAAGTGCCCTAGAGGACCAATGTTAGGAAACGCAAATTTCCGTGCTCCTTTGTTGTATAGTGTCTAAGAAAATCAAACCATTGACGAAAAACAGTCATTTGTTAGTCATATTGATTCAAATAGAGATAATCATTCTATTTCCCAAAGTATTATGCAGCACTAACCCTGTTGTTCTGTTCTTATAACATTTGGTCAGGAATAATTCTGAACTTGCTTTGTATGAAAAAAGTTAAAATAAGTCTAGCATAACAAAAGTTTTATCATAAGAAAGTAGGATTAGGAGTTCTTACATAAATGTGGGTGGTGAGCTCACTGAGTATCTGATTAACGTAAGTTTTCTTTGAATGAGGATTGAGAGGAAGCTGTGGAAGGTTAGTCTTATTCGGCTCGAAAATGCTGAAGTAGTCATTTCCTCCGATGTCAATCAAGTAGACTGCTTTAGATAACAGCTTGTTGCCCTCTGATTCTCCAACTTGCTGTTTCAATTTTCGCACCATTTGAACAAAATAGTACATTTGCAGGGCCAAATTTATCTGGCAGCCGAAAAAATAAAAGTGAGACAAAGTATAATTGACCAAAGAAAATGTAGCTATGCATTTCGTAACAACAGAAGATCTTAATTGAATTTTATCTCTATTTTTTTTTTATTAAAACACAGAAACTTGGTCTTACAGACTTACTGTGATGTATTTCATATACTAGGTACTAGAATGAAGTATATTGGCTATATCCGCCAAAATTATTTGTTTAGATTGCTTTAAAGTTAGACTCTCGTGATGTAACACGTGTGTTTAATTAACGAGCAACTTATTCTATTACCAATTGGTTTTGAGATGAAAGTGATGTGAACTCTCTTACTTCTGAAGTAATGATGCCCAAATGGCCAAATATATACACTTTTTACTGACTACTCGGATGTAATACTCCTTCGTTCCATATTATAAGGATCCATGATTATCGAGAGCTAACATTCATTGTTGATTACTCATACAACATGTTGATGAAGATGTTCCACATTGAAGATACCGAAAGCACCCAAAATTTCCCACAGCATTTGGCCATTCATTTGATCATAAACATTCCATCTTGGGTGCCATATATATCGTAGCTATGCCTTCAGCCTTTTATTTTCAGTAGTTGAAACTTGAAACAATTTTAAATGAGATGTTCATGCTCACCAACTGCGTGATCAAATGTCTATTAGAACCACATCCAAGGTAAGTGCCTCCTTCCTTCCTCAAGTCCCTAAGCATCCAAATTATAATATTATAGCCATGTGATCGACCTCGATCCCATCCCCTCGGCCTCTTTCATTCACCAAGGATTCTGCTCTTTTTGAAGACTCCAATGATGTTATGCATCTTGTTCCAATAAATTTGCTAACTCGAGGCCCTTTGTGTTTTTCATTTTTACTAAGTTAAGGTTTCAATTCCAGAGCAAAAACAGGATAGCCAAAAATTCAGCCTCATACGAATCCATCACATACATTAAAGCCGCAAACAAGAGCAACAAGAATAGCCATGAACTCAGCATTGATCGAATCCATTGCACACACTGAAGCAGCAAACAAGAGCAAACAGAATAGCTATGAACTCAGCCTCATTCAAATGCCTTACACATATTGAAGCCGCAAACAAGACCAAAAACAATAGTTATCAACTCAGCCTTATTTGAATCCCTTATCTTATTGAAGCCGCAAATAAAGGAAAATATGATACCCATGAACGAACTCAGCCTCATTTGAATCCCTTGAACTTACTAAAGCTGTTAAAAAAAAAGCACAAAATAATAGCCATGAACTCAGCCTAGTTCAAATCCGCTGGCATCTATGGCTCCTTCCTGTTCTCGGGTATTCGCTTTTTGGAAGAGTACAAACCTATAAAGTAATTTAGCTCTAACAGGATCAATATATAAGAATACACCAAATTTTCCATGACTGCTTGCTTACAGAACTTGACTGAAATTCACCTCTGATCGAATATCCAGAAACTCCGATCGGAGGTTGTTTTGCTTGGATCTTGTAAGTCTCATCCACTCATCCCAATTCCTCGCCGACAAGATTGCATCAAACTAAGAGATCAACTCCAATCATTGCAATTCATTAATCACTTACTTTTTCGCTCTTCCAAAAAACAATTCAATTCTGATTTCCTATCACTAATCTTTAACCCTAACTCTTCACAATTTTATAAACATGTATTCAGTGTAATCGCAATCATAATTTCGCTTAATAACCATGACGCCGCCATATAAAATGAAACGGAGAGAGTATTTCACTATTTCCTTTCCAAAAAATAGGATCAATTTTTTCTTCAGAAAAAAAAAAGAAAAATACCTTTCCAGGACGAGTTTCAACCAGCACACAAGCACTAGCAGCAGCAAAACTGGTTCCTTTGGTATAATCATCAAACCCTGGTTGCAAATACGGCTGCAGATGCGGCCACCCGGCATATTGAGCTGCCAAAACAAGTACGATAAACATATAATTCATCAACTAACCAAACAACAAATCTATGACAAGTTGAATTAAGTTGATTCGAAATAAGCACCAAGAGCAGTACCTAAGAAATCCGGGATAACACGACCATCACAATACCTCCCAGCAGGCTTCTTAAAGTAAGTCCGACCATAAGGCCAGAATTCAGCACCATCTCCCGCAACACCGGTGTACAGAGTCATACCGGCATCGAATAGCGAATCGCCGAACACGTATAGGAGATTCTTGTCATTCTTGTTCTTGGCATTGCAGGTAGTAAGGGATACAAAGAGTAGTGTTGCATATAGTGTAGGCAAGATGTTACTAGTTCTTGTTGTTGTTGTTGCCATGAAGAATGTCAAGTTTGCTAACTTTGCGCATAAAAACCCAACTTGTATTGTTATATTTCTTGAAAATGGTTGGTAAAGGTGTAATAGAATTGGCTATTGAGAACACGTTTATGCTTTATTAGAGACGTGGGAATGTGGATGGGTGTGCGACAACTGCATTACAAGAGGTAAAGTGGTGCAACTTGTGCGATGGCGCAGGGCCCCCAACATAATTAAACTTATTAGCGAGTCTTTTAATACATAATTTTGGCTTAATTAATTGAAGTGGGGAATACATGTGTGAATACTTGAGGATGTCAGGCAATTGAATCTGGTTAGCTGTGTCTTTTTTAACAAATCAAATATTTTTGTTTGTTGGTGGTCTTGCTATGGTCTTGTTCAACATTTTTTTTTTTTTTTTTTTTTTTTTTTTTTTTTTTAACAAAGAGAACTCATAAATAAAGAACAAATTACAACTTTACAAAGCTATAAAAGAAACTAAAAAACAACCAAACACACCTAGCTAAACACACAAACACCAAAAGCTAGAAAAATCTTCTGTATCGTGGCTGAGCCGACACACCGAAACAAACCCACATACGGGATATACCACTTACCAAAAGAGGAAACACGAAGTTTAATAACTAAACCAGAGTAGCCTTGCATCATACCAATTACCTTGGAGCCTGGACAACAAAAAGGTTCTTACCAAAACCTTGTTTTGGGCCAAGAGTTGCCAACTGAACCAAAACCCTCGAGATGGACAGAGTGCGCAAGATATTACTAGTGAAGGGAACCGAAAGTTGCAATGATACCTAAGCAAATTTGCGATGGAAGTTGTGTAGACACAAAACACCCAAAAGTTGAAAGCACCCTATTGCTGAAACCATGACCCGTGACACGACCCCACTCTTGAGGATCGAAAAGCATAGCCACCTCCTAATTAAGAGTCCTGAAGCCAAACCAAGAGAGTCGTACGTTCAACAATGTTGTCTGGTTTACTTTGCTTGTTTGAATTTGAGTCTAATTTTCTTTTTTATAAAAAAATAATAAATTTAATAAGTTTGTTCATTGCTATTGACTTGTTTGACAATGTTGATTGGTTCACTTCGCTTGTTTAAGTTCACGTCCACTAATCTTTGACATGAATGACTGTTTAACTAACTCAATAGTGTTACCATCTTTTCATAGTGTTTCATATTCCACAAGAAAGAGATTAAACGTCGGTTACCAAAGAAGACAAATATGTTATATTCAGCAACAAAAGAATATAATAGATGATTAGTTAAGGATTTAGGGAATAATTAACTCATAATGGACAATAAGTTAAGGATGGAGAGATAAATAACTCATATAATAGAAGATTAGTTAAGGATGAAGTACATAATTAATTAATTTATATTAGGTGCAAATCAAATAATCTAACACCCATCATATTCATGGTTATATTTTGTACTCTCTTTATTATAAAAAAAATGCTCTAATTTGATATATCTTGTTTAACAAACCAAATTTTAAATATTGTATAGAACTCTGTAATATATTTTTAAAAATTTATAATATCACATGAAGTCTTATTAAATTGTCGTGATGTTTAGTTTTAAGATATATTTTCAACTAATTATTTATATTAACACATAAGAATAAACTTCGTATTAAATAGAATAATAACTAGAGTTTAACATTTTAGAAACAATAAAAAAATAACAAACAAAAAAACATCTACAACTATCATAGGTAAGTGAATCATTAGCTTATACTCCGTATGTAGTACCACTTAGGTTGTCGGATAAAATCACATGCTTGTTTCAATCTTTGATATTACGAAACAAATAACTTATATTCCCTCCTTAAAATAATAAATATTAAGATTAATTAATTGATCAAAGTGCTAGAATACTGTAGAAAACCAACCAATTTCATTATGATCGTCATCATCCATGTGCAAATAATAAGTTAATATGATTTGATTAAGTATTATTTTGACAGTCTAGACACAAATCCGAGCATGTGTAGACGAATACATTTCGCATTTTCGCTGGCAATAAATACGAAGAATGAGTCAAAGGTAATGCCAAAATATTTAAATGATTATGTTTTATGGATTAGTTTATTAATTTTGTTTTTGGTACAGATTTTGTCTTTTACAAGTAATTTTTTTCTTTTGGGAAACTTCTTCTCTATTATATCACCTTTGACTTTCTACTTTAATTTCAATTTGTGATTTATGAGTATGAAGAAAAGTATTCAATTGTACGATCTAGGTTGCGCGCATATTAGTAAGAGGATGTCAATTTTTGTTTCCGGTGGGAAAGTTTCTTAAGGATAAGAAAAGGACATACACTATATATCCAAATTGAATCGAGTCGAAACAGTGAACCGTGTAGATATATGTATATTGTACAATGGATTGTTGTTTTATGACGTGCATGTTATGGGTCTAGTTCTCTTGTACAAAGTACACAAATAAATTTGCTATTGTATACTTCATATGTTATGCTTGTAAATTGTGAGTCCGAAATGGTGGTCTTATGTTTTTCTGTTTGATTTTGATTTATGAAGTGGCTGCTATAACAAGCTTGAAGTTGGGGTTTAATTGTTGTATCCAAAAACCAACAAAAAGTAAATGAGTACCAAGAAACAGTGAAACATACACACGGGCAAAATAGAAAAGAAGAGGAGGCAAAGGGTTTGATAAAAACTTCTTCATTTTGATTTTTTAGGATTTAGCTTTCACAAAATTATCTATTGGATTGTGCTAAAAATGTGTCAGCCCTGTTTGAATTGGGGCAAATAGGGTCTCTATTTGAATGGTTGAATCGTCGTTTGAAGCTCTGATTTGTTCAGAATCGTTGTTTGACAAATACATACGTTTTAGTGATATTTTTCATCTTTTGCTCTTCTAAATGTTAATCTCTTATGTATGTACTTGTTAGTGTGTTCTGATTTCTTATGGACTAATTTGAGTTTCTTTTAATTTTATCATGATAAGAGAAGAAGAAAGGGTGGACTACATACTCACAAGTCCCGTGATCTTTATTCCTCACATCGAAAGGGATTTTTCCATATATACATCACGTGTTATTGTGATTTATTTTCTTCCACGTTGTTGCTTGTTCCTGCTGTTCATATGGTTGATTTCAATTCGCTTGGGGAATTGTTAACTTGATGATTTGCGGTGAATTAGCTTAGGGTTGTTGTTCTTGGACTTGATCATAGTGTTATACTACTCAGTCCTTACAGTGCATTCGATTTTCTAACGTGTAGATCTAACATCTAATAAAATTTCTAGATTAGCTATGAAAAGTACATAATACGACGTAGCACCGTATTATTTATGTAGATTACTAGATTAGTTACGCTAAATCCATATCGCAATAAGGCAGCCCACTATATGGCCAAATCTGCTATCTCTTATGAGGAAGACTTGATTTGGATGGAGGAGTGCCCAATGATTGTAATGGACTCTGTTTCAGCTAATAAAGCTCTAATATAACCCTAAGCTCTAAGCTTTTTCTCAAAAAAAATCCATAATTCTTTCAACAATGGCTTATTGATACCAGCATATTGGCCCATAACTGTGGATGGACTTCAGAGTTATGACTCTTATGAAGTTATGAGTACTTGTACCCTGAAATAATTGTAAGGTTGGAAATTATGTCTAACGGCGAGCATGAGCAACAGTTAGTATTGGCTAGACCCCGCGCCCAATCAAAGTTGACTGGTCCCGAGACAATAAATGAACATTTACTTTAACAAAAATGAACATTAAACTGAACATATTATACAATTTTGTTCATTATAAAATCAGTATATGTTCATTCTCATATGTTTTATGTTCACTTGTGAATAATTTACTATTGAAGAGTATATTAATGATGTTCAGATTAATATTAGCAAAATGTTCATAATCATAAAACTGTATGTTTATTTGTATATCACGATAATAAAAAAATTATTTAATTTTTTATTTCAATTTTCAAAAATATGAAGTTAGATGTTCAATTGTATTACGGATGTTTTGTATTTCTCAATAATTAAATGTTCATTTTCATACAGTATGATGTTCATTCTTATAAAATAAATGTTAATTTTCATGCAGTATGATTTCACTTGAAGCTTAAAAAAAATGTTGATGAATAAGCAACAACATTATATGTTCATTTTTATTTACTATTGAAATGTTTAGTTGTACTCCCTCCGTTCTGAAAGTTTGACTCACTTTGTAATTGCGCGGTCTCCAATATACATCTTTGACCATGAATAACTCTGGTTGTGCATAAGTGAAATTTGTAACAAAATTGATATTTGAATTATTTATAATAAGAGGAATCTAATATGATCTCACATGCTAATTTATTTATATTGTATAGCTCATAAAATTAAATGTGGTTAAAGTTGTTTTATTTTGACCACATGAATAGTAAGTGAGTCGAACTTTCAGAAATGAAGGTAGTACAATATTAGATGTACAATTTTTTTTCTTTTTCAGTAGTCTCTTTATATTACTCTTATATTATAAATGTTCATTTTATATATTGCAATGTTAATTTCAAGTTTTAGATATTTCTTTCTTTTGATTTGGAATTTATTTTTCATTAAAAAAAACATGTTCATTGTTATTTAACAAAATATTCATCTCAATTTTCTGATATACATTTGCAGTTTCAATGTTACTGTTCAAATATGTTCAATTACTAAATCTTCATTTTTTTCCTAGTAAATGTTCATTTTTGTTGGGGAGGACCAGCCACTTTTCAAATATGTTCAATTACTAAATGTTCATTTTTGTAATAGAAAATGTTCATTTCTGATCGTAGGACCAACCAGCTCTGGCGGGGCACGAGTCCAGCTTAAAATTTGCGTCACTCCAAATTACAATTATTATTGCAGTTAAGGCTCATATTTTTGTAGTACTCGTACTTTTTTCTCCGATTTTGTCCTTCTTACAGTTCTTACCTTATATGAATTCATTTTCTTTGTCAGTCTTTGTGCAAAGTGAAGTATAACAATATTTGTGAGCCTTAAGTAGTTAAGAGTATCAATGTTAGTGAACCATCAGCTAAAAAAATGAATGCTTAATAAATTACCTTTATGAAAACGAAGAGAGTACATCACAAATTCAAAGGGCATAAACCAATAAATAAAAGGGTTAAATTAGGTCAAATTCGAACTTAAAAAAATGTTGTGGATTGTAGACCTTTTATAACATGGAGCTAATCTGAATTTTCAGCCCTTGGACTATTTATAAGTTGAAACAAGATTTGTAAGAAACTAGTTATTCAACCCATGGCAAACAAAGTCCTTAAATTATAAGGAGCAACATTGTTGTATCCTCCACTCCAGAATTCTTTTGCTAATTGCCGGCAAGCTTTATGGGTCGGGTGCCAAGCATCATACCACAAATAATCTTTCACTTTGTAGCACACTGAGAAGGTCATTGATCTATTCTGGCAAGTATAATCACCATTGAACACTCCACTTCCACAGCATGCTGTTTCGGTTTCCTCGAAACCTATAGTTGATTTCAATCAATATAATTAAAAGACGAGGAAGTATAAATCCAACAATGTGTGTGAACTCGATAAATTTGATTTATAGAAAGAGCTCATTTTTTCACTAGTTGGGTTACTTTGATATAAATTGAACTGAATCTACACATTGTGTTGAGCACATCACTTTGCATAAAAAGGTATATAGACTTTTTTCATTACATTGTCGTACTCATGACCTATTAAATAACTTAGAAAGGAAGGAATAAATTATACGTACCATATACGTTGCCATATAAGACACGATGGTGTAATGCGGTGTAGAAGTCATAGATTGTGTAATTAAATCCTGGTAATTTGCTTTGCAATGTGTTGGCTTTGGCAGCAAATGCAGCATTGTGCATCCTGGCTAGCTCTAGCGGCTCCTCCGCACAAGTTCCATTGAATCCAAGCATATATTTCATTGATGGCATGCATCCAATAGGACCAATGTTTTGGAATGCAAATTTTCTTCCTCCTTTTTTGTAGATGGTCTAAATCAAGGGTGATAGCATGAAAATCTGATTAGTTTGGAAATAAATCATCTTTAATATAGAGAATCCCATATTTCCAACAAGTATTACATTATAATTTGTCACAAGTCCAGAATTAATAGTCACATATACTATTTCAGTTTGTCATCAGTGTTACCTTTCTAATATCATGTTCCGTAATTTACTATTCGATTTCTAAGTATTGTATGCACTTGCTTAAATTAAGTGATTGAGAGAGAATAAAAATATTACTTTGATGTGGATGGTGAGGTTGCCCAGTATTTGTTTCACGTAGAGACTCTTCTCTGAAGAGGAGAGAGGACGTTTTTCGCGATTCATTTGGAGAAGAGTAACATAATCATTTTTGCCAATGTCAAATAAATAGACTGCTCTAGATAACAGCCTATTAGCCTCCGATTTCCCAACTTGCTTGGTCAAATTTTGCACCATTTCAACAAAGTAGTCCAATTGCATCTTCAAATTTATCTATATAAATTAAAATCCACAAATTAAATCAATCCGGAATACAAAGATATTATAACCATTGTAAAAGCTTCTAACTTGTAATTAAAAAAAAAAAAAAAAATTGAATACCGCCTTAGGACAATTTTCGACGAGTACACAAGCACTTGTAGAAGCGAAATTTATTCCATTGGTGTAGTTTTTATTCCCTGGCAGTAAATATGGTGGTGGCATATATGGCAAACCCGCAAATTGAGCTGCCAAAATCATGTGCAACAACAACGACAAATAGGACAAGAAATTGGCATTTTAATATGCTAAATTGAATGCAAACACTATACACATACGACATATTATTGTATTATATAAGCAAAAAATACCTATGAAATCTGGGATATTGAGGCCATTAGAGTACCTCCCAGCAGGCTTCTTAAAGTAACTTTCGCCGTATGGCCAATACCTTGCTCCGGCTTCCTTATCGCCGGTATACAAAGACATACCATTGTCGTAGAGTGAATCGCCAAAGACGAAGAAGAGAGTCTTGTCTTGTGTGGCAAAAGAGATAGAAGGGTAAACAAAGAGTAGAGTTGCACATAGCTCTAGTGCCAATGTAACACACAAGTTTCGTACTGTTTGTGCCATATTTAAATGAATGTTCTTCTGTGCACCAAAATCAGCTTCTTTTTCGTTCCTTTGAAACTTTCGGGTTAATTTGGGCTTTGGATGATATATGCAAGGGGAGGCTTATAATTAATGGTTTGTTAGTCAAAAAATTCAAGTGTTATTTTTTACCAAGTCCTTGTATATGTCATATTGTGATTTGTGATAATTAAAGGATCAAGTATCGTTTAGAACCAAATATTTTTTAAACATTACATGAATAATTTTATGAGAGAAACAATCAATACTCTTGTTGCAAAGAACGTTATAATTTATTAAAGGATCTTGCAAAAATGGTAGCATTATCTTTTAAATTGGTAATTGACGATTATATTCAGGAAATTTTATAAATAAACACCCCTTAAAACACCTTATTTAGGGGTAACCATCCCTTTTTTTTCAATATTTTAAATACCAACCTTAAATAAAAAAAAAAAATTTAAAAAAAAGTTAGATTTCACTGCATGTTAAGTCTTAACTAAAAAATCATGTGCAACAACAACGACAAATAGGACAAGAAATATCGATTTTTGTGCTAAAATTTGCTCGTTTTAAGAGTCATATTAGCCTTTTGAAATCGATTTGAGGTCATAATTGAAAAAAAAAAGAAAAAATTAAATAAATATTACTACCTTTATTTTAAATTATTTGCAACATAGGTAGTATTAGAAACAACTCATTTTGCATATTAATAATTCTATCGTCTTACTTGAGCTTGCCCCAATTACTCTCAATGATGAACAATTTTTATTAATCACATACATTTTCGTAAATAAATCAACAACCTTTATCCAATCATCATCAACTATAGAGCCCACATTAATGAAAAAATTATTGATTTATTTACGAAAATGCTATGGGATAAACCGTTTTTATTTATCACTGAGAGCAACTTATATTTTCTCGTCTTATATTCTTACATAACAGACAAAATGAGACATTATTATTTTAAAAAACTAGATTAAGTCTCGTGCCAGAGCCACGCACGGTTTTTACAAAATTTTATAACGAATTATAATGTTAATTCAAAATCTACCAAAAAATAATCCTCATATTTTCAAATGAAATTGAAAAAGTTTGAATCTTAATTTAGACCTAGAATTGAGCCCGAATTCGGATTAGACCAAACGGTAAATCAGGTAGAATACCAAAAAAAAGTAAAAGATATAGAATAATATTTTACACAATAAAAATATGGAAAATATGTGAATATTTTTTTTGAGAGTGAATCACAATATATGATTTGGTGAATAATTTTTTTTAAAGAAAGTGAATTACAATTATATAAAGAAGTGATTTTTTTTTTGTTTAGGAAGTAAAAAAAACAAAAAACAAAAAAAAAAGTTTTGAAAGGAAAAAAAACAGAGTAACACGTGTCATTCTGACATTTATTTTAGTATTATGTTATTGATTAATATGACAAACTTTCCTCCCCTAAAAGAAAAAAAATCCCAATCGAAACCGAACGGCTAAACCACAAAACCCAGAGCAAAAAAATCACTGTTGCCTTCAAAAAACCAGAGCAACTCATTCATCGAAGAGAGAGAAAGAAAGCAGCAAAAATGGGAGTGGTAATCATCGACGGAACAACAGTCAGATCCTTCGTAGCAGACGAACCCCAATTCAACAAAAGCGTCGACAAAACTTTCGCAACCTTCGACCTCAATGGCGACGGCACCCTCTCTCGTTCCGAGCTCCGAAAGGCCTTCGAATCCATGCGACTCATCGAAACCCACTTCGGTGTCGACTCCGGCGGCCCAACTCCGGCGCAATTGACTACCCTTTACGACTCCATTTTCGAAAAATTTGATATCGATCATAGTGGGACTGTTGATATCGAGGAATTTCGATCTGAAATAAAGAAGATTATGCTTGCGATTGCTGATGGTTTGGGTGAATCGCCTATTCAAATGGCTCTTGAAGGTGGGAGTGAGAATTTGCTCCAGAAAGCTGCTGATCTTGAGGCTACTAAGCTGAAGGAAGCTGGAAAATCGGCTTAGGTTTCTGGGTTTTGGGAGTAATGTGATGGGAATGGTGTTTTGAAGGGTTGCACGCTAGGTGTTTGTGTTAATGTCTAAATGAGTATACTTCGTATATTGTTGTTTAGATTTTACTGTTTTTGGGTAAAATTGTTTGTTGGATTTGTTTAATGTTTGTATTAACCTTTGCAAATTAAATGTTTGTCAAGTGTGTATGTTTGTGTTGTTCACTTATTTGGTTACATAATAAGTGCCTCTAATAAAGCTGTACTAAGATTAGAAAAGTTTAATCTTTTTTTCCAATCAGTTCCTAGTGTATATTCGTATATCCAGTTTAATTGATATAGAATATACTTATATACTATTAGTCTATTAGCCAATAGCCATAGATGGATACAGCTTGTATCGATTTAAATACTCTCATGATCTATTATGCTAAGCACCTAAGCACTATCACACCACACTACTACACTATGTACATGTGTTAAAGTATGATTTCATAACAAGCTTGGATGTGTAAACATCATGCCTAATTCACCAAAATAATGCAAGAATTGCTCCATTTTCTAGAAAATGATAAGGTGCTATGGGATATAAAAATCTACGGAAGAAAATAGGTATTTTAAATAAAAGAAAGTGATCACTAGAAAATACGTCAATTCTCTTTTAAGCTAAGATAGTAGTTTATGTTATCGCTATTTTATGCTAAGATGCTAGTATTGAAAACTTCTTCATTTAAAAAGGGGACGACGGAGCGATCAAAAAGAGCAACCGAGGGTTTATTAGAAAGAAAGGGCAAGGTGATCCATGGAATGAGGGAATTAAGAGAAGAGGAGGGATCATCATATATAAAAGATGTGTAACAGAAGAAATGAGAGAAATTTTTTGAAAGATAGTGTCACAGTGTGCATAAAATTGGTAAAACAACTACATATTCTGTAGTCCTTAATACTTTTATTGTATTTAACTTAGATTTGAAAAGAGAAAATGTGTATTTTTTTTTTTTACATGCATTTTATGTATAATTTGAACATAATTCTCTGGAAATTGTGGATAAAACAAAACAAAGTCTTTTAACGATCAGCATTTTAAACCTTGTTTATTAATCACGTCTAAGCATAACAAATTGAAATCCAGGTGATGAAATTTTCAAATTTTATTAGGCCGGATTTGGTCCTATTATGGACGGGTGAACAGTCGTATCTATATTTGGGCTGATTTGTATTAATATTGCTTGGCTTTTTATATACTCGTACGTAGTAGTGTAGTAGTAGCTACACTAGCTAGCTAATAAAGAGGTCCTTTTGAGTTGACTATCAAGGTACTAACGTCCAATCTAAGCCATTGTGTACTTGTGTAAAATATTACTCATATCTTGTTTTTATAACGGCTGAGAATTACTCGATTCTAATGGATTGCTAATCTGACTATTTACAAAAAGTTCTATTCATAAAATTATAGTCTGTAATTTATTTATTTATTATTATTATTATTTGTAATATATATATATATATATATATATATATATATATATATATGTTTAGAGAACGATAAGGGCGTATGATGAAAATCAATCTTGAGATCCTTTGAAACAAAGATGGAAACTCTAACCAATTGAGCTATCCTTCCCTCTTCTTTTTGGGAACAAATAGTAGTAGTTGTTGTTAGTCATTAGAAAAGATTAAGCTTATGTTCATTTTGCTTGAAATAAGCTAGATATTTCGAAATGAATATTTAAATTTTAGCTAGGTTGATCCTATCTTCAATAATGATTGAACTTAGACTATATTGTAAGTTGTAGAGTAATAGATATGAAAAAAAACATTATTCAATGGAGTCTTATTAAATCCTCTTAATGAGTTAGGTTTTTTTTTTTTTCTTTTTTCTTTTTCAGCATACCAGTTTTTATATTTTTATTAATATAATTTCAAGTATTTGATAATAATCAAATGTTTCTCATATATTAAATTAAAGGGAAGAGAACGTATCCTAACTAAGAAACTTTAATAATTCTCCAACCATCAAAGAAAATCCTTTGATTTTAGACAATTAGAGTTATTTTAAATACCATACAACTAAAGTAATTCAATACAACGATATATTGCCTATATTAAAATATATTCCCCATCTCAAAATGATTTTCTTTCCCTTTATATCAATCTCTCAATAATGAACCCTACTTGTACATTACCTCTTTGGATTGAAATCTCTCAATGTATATTAAGTCCAAACTAATCCAAACAAAATTTGAACTAATTAGGTTTGTTTAGTTTGGACTTTAAGTCAAATAACTTGCGCCCTTTAATGCCACATCACACACGAGATATAATAATAACAATAATAGTACGGAGTACAATACTAAAAATAGAATATGTAATTAAAATAGAATTATTAGTACAGCCCATACTCTTCGTTCCCACTCCCTTCTCCATTCCCTATGCAAATAAGTCATACCCTTTCGATCATGGAAATACTAATAATGTAATGCCTTTCTCATCATCCAATACAATAATAATAAAATGAACAATAATTCTCTTCTTCTACGTTTTTCATCCACAAATTTTGTTGTTGACCTTCCTTTTTAAGTATTTAGTCGTTCTTAACTCTTTTTAATCGGGTTTTTACTTCCCCAAATCTCTTCAACCTTGACTCTAGGAAGCCAGTAAAAACAAAACATCGTAGACTAAGCTAAGACAAGTAAAATTAAACTAATTGAATAGAGTTTGTAGCCATTAACTTTAAGACGCAACCTAAGTATGAACATTGAATATATTAATTATTCATTTTATTTAAAACAAAATGAAACAAAGCTCAATATGTTCCTAATAGATAAAATGAGTCACAACTCCAAAGTTTATATCTAGACGCTACGTATGAGATAAGAATATAGGATACAGATAAAGGTAAGGATTGGATAGAACCAGGATAAAGAAATAATGATGAATTTAATGATGATAAAATAATAATTGATCTCTATGTATGAAAACTTAAGATGGTTCTTAGCCTTGTGTATCTTCCCTTACTATGATAATTCTATAATGATTGATTTTTATGCATGGAAACTTAAGATTGTTCTTAGCCTTGTGTATCTTCCCTTGCTATAATAATCTATAATAATTGATTTTTATGCATGAAAACTTAAGATTGTTCTTAGCCTTGTGTATCTTCCCTTACTATATTAATATATAATAATTGATCTTTATGCATGGAAACTTAAAACTGTTCTTACTTCTGAGCCTTGTGTATCTTCCCTTACTATAGTCTCTATTTCAATATCTTTGGTAGGATAATATTCATTTCAATCTTAACCCTATCTCTACCCCTTAAAACAAACCAGTTATTTCTCTTATCCTTTTTTCATTCCTTGCATTAATGTAGTCCGAACTTAGTTGACACATTATATAAAATAATGAACATTAACAGAGTTACAAGACCGATTAAGAGAGTAATCATGATGACGGAAATATACAATTTAAAAAAAATACTAAAAACGGCCCTGTAGAATAGATCTGATAAACACACCCAATGAGGAAAGTGGAAGAAAAAGTATGAATAAAACAAACAACAATAAAATGATCAAAGCAAAGCAAAATAGTAGTGCTGGACTAATGCTACTCTAACTGTTCCCCCTCGGCGCATCTTAGCTCACATAACCCCACCAACTAACTACCCATAAAAATTATTTATTATTTAAAAATTAAATCCAAAATATATTATAATTTAAAAAAAAAAAAAAAAAGAAAGCGTGAGACAATGGCCAGGCCTGATCCATCGACTTTAGGTAGTGCAACGTGGACGGTTGAGATGAAGTCCATGTCGCAGAATATGATTGGATAGAATCAAATCAACGGTTACCACTCTCTTCAGAGTCGCATCATTCTCTCCAACTTCACTATTATTGGTCCACGTACCCCCCTCAAAATGGGGCCCACTTTATTAAAAAAATTAAGGGATAAAAATGGACCAAAGACTCTTCCCCTTATTAAAGAGTAGAGAGAGAAACAAGGCAAATTAGAGAGAGATTTTTTTTTTGTTGTTGCTCTTAAATTTTGAGTGAATTGCTAGACAGCCGACACTTGTCCTTAATTAAAAACTTTCCCACTGGTAAATAAAAATTCCTTTTTTTTTTTTTTTTAAATTTTGTTTTTGTTGTTGTTTCATTTTTTTGGAAGTTTAGTCATCTAATTATTCAACCCTTCTTTATTTTTGGATAATTGATTTGCTATTTTGGAATTTTGGTTTTTTTTTTTTTTTTTTTTTTGGGTTTTGATCAGTGGGTGTTTAGTGATTTGAGTTCATGATTGATGGATAGAAATGATGTGATGAATAAGATGAGATCTTTGTTGAAAAACCCTGATTTTTTTTGGGTTTTTTTGTGTGATTTTTTAGTGTTTTTTTTTTGTAATGTCATTGATTATTTGTTGTGATTTTGCAGGTTGTGGTTGAAAGGATTGTTGGAATTGAAGCAGGTCTTACCAGTAAGGATTTGATTTTGTGCAATTTTATTGTTATTGGTATTTTATAGTGGTAAGTTTGGTGTTTAAAGTTGGTTAGATTTGTGGGAAAATAGTGGAATTTGAATAGGGTGTTTTAGTTTGATAGTTGGAATATTGAAAATAGGTGAGAAATGGGGAGTAATAGTAATATGAACTTTGGTAAGAGTTTTGGGAATGAAGCAGCAGGTGATGGGAGTGCTGGTGGGAGTGGTAGACCACCAGGGTCAGGATTAGGGTCAGGGAATTTCGGGTTAGCAAGGCAGCTTTCGATTTATTCGTTGACATTCGACGAATTTCAGAATACATTAGGAGGGATGGGGAAGGATTTTGGGTCTATGAATATGGATGAATTGTTAAAGAACATTTGGAGTGCTGAGGAAACACAATGTATGACAACAGGAGCGGGGGCAGCAGCCGTGGCTGCTGCAGCTGCTGCTGCTGCTGCTGTAGGGAGTAGTGGTCAGGATGGGAGGAATTCAGGTGGGTATTTGCAGAGGCAAGGGTCATTGACACTACCTAGGACGCTTAGTCAGAAGACGGTTGACGAGGTTTGGAAGGATATAGCGAAAGAGTTTAATGGAACTAAGGATGGGGGAGGTGGATCTAATGTAGCACAGAATCAGAGGGAGCAGACACTAGGGGAGATCACTTTGGAGGAATTCTTGGTGAGAGCTGGGGTTGTAAGGGAAGATACAGAAGTGCTTGCGAAACCTAATAATGCTAACGCTGCTGCTGTTGCTGCTGCTGGAATGTTTGCGGATTTCTCAAGGTCTAATAATAACAATAGTAATAATAATACTAATACTGGTTTTGGGATTAATTTTCAACAATCTGGCCGAGGTGTTGAACTGATGGGTAATCGTTTAGCGGACAATAATCATCAGATGTCCTTGCAATCAGCTAACTTGCCATTGAATGTTAATGGAGTACGAACATCACAACAACAACCAACACCAGTGCAGATGTCCCAGCAGTCACAGCAGCAACAACAGCAGCAGCACCTGCAGCAGCAACAACCACTATTTCCGAAACAGCCTGCTATTTCATATGCATCTGCGATGACTCTACCCAGTAATGCTCAGCTAGGTAATACAGGATTGAGGGGTGGTATTGTAGGATTAGCTGATCCAGGGATGAACAACAACTTGGTTACTGGTGCAGCTCAACAAGGTGGTGCAGGAATGGGTATGGTTGGGTTGGGAGGTGGTGGAGCAATTGGTGTTCCTGCCGGATCTCCTGCAGCTTTGTCATCCGATGGGCTTGGAAGGAGTAATGGAGATTCATCTTCTGTTTCACCAGTTCCGTACATGTTTAATGGTGGTGGTCTTAGGGGGAGAAAAGGAATCCATGCAGTTGATAAAGTCGTTGAAAGGAGGCAGAGGCGAATGATAAAAAATAGAGAATCTGCTGCAAGGTCCCGAGCACGGAAACAGGTTTTGCATATATTCCTATTCTTCTTGGTTCTATTGTCAATTCTATGGTTCTATTTCCTGGGTGGAGAGTTGACTATCTGTTTTGTTTTGCTTGGTTGTTTATCTTTTTGTTTTTTGTGGTTTATCTCTTATTTTATCATTGCAGGACATGCATAATAGGGCTAATTGGTTGTAACGTTGTAATTTGCAAGCATGCTGCATTTATCACATATTCCAAAGTTGTACACTGCTCTCAGATTATTGATGATGAATGGAGTTTGAATTAAGTTGTTCATATATTATAATTTGGTTGTTCTGGTTAAAACATATGATAAAAGACCGTGGTATGAATGTGGTACTAGTGATAATTTATTGGCAAAGTCTTTGCACACCTTGGTTTTACTGTTTTGTCATGAAAGTATCTTTAATAACTTCAAATATGGTCAGGGTTGGTACCTGACAAAGTGTGTTAAATGCTTTGCTAATCAAAACAAGTGCTGGATTGTAGTTCATTTTGGTGAACCACTATATAATCACAAGATCTGTGTTTCTTATCTAAGAAATTGTAAAGCTTCTTCCTCCCCAAGGAGAATAGAGCCTTGAGGGAAATGGAGAGATATGGTAAAAATTGTGAAAATAAAGTAACAGACAAAAATATAGAGAACAGTAGATGAGATAGAGGTTAGAGTATACAGGGGAAGGCAATGTTATGTTCAAATGCCAGTAAATTAATTCTGAATGACATGGGACATGAATGCTTGCTTGATGCTGTCACAGATGCTCTGCATGGTCCTCTGACTATGTTTTAATGTGGCAACTTTGTTGATTTCAGAGATCAGTTAGTATCGCTTTCCCTATATCGAGTTTTTTAATAGCTGAAAGTATATTGGGACTTGAAAGTAAGGTATTTCATGTGTAGTTTCTATCTTGTGTAATATAGTTGAGACCTTATGAGTAAAGCGTCCTCTGATATAGACAGAACAACATGTCCTAATTTTTATTTTTGTTTCCACTGATGAAAAGGGGGGAGGGGGACATTTTGTTGTGGTCCATTTGAAACCTTAAACATACTTGAAATGCAATGATTAATTGCTGGTGCTGTTGTAATATACAGTAGTTAGCCTATTTTCCTTTAATGATACTCTTCCTTATAATTAAACATACTTGAAATGGTTTTTGTTTTTTTAAAAAAGCACAATTGAAATGTAATAACAAATTGTTGTTGCTTTTGTGATATCTGGCATGCACTTTTCCCCTCATTTCTCGACAGCTAATCATATTTTGTTCTTCGGTAATTCAAGTATGAGATGACATAGACACTGAGGACTATAAAATCTACTTGTAGTAGTTTATAATTGTTTCATGTCTTCGCCTTTTTCTGTACATGTCTCACTTACACTGCTGTCTGATTTCTTCTTTAGGCCTATACAATGGAGCTGGAGCAGGAAGTTGAGAAATTAAAAGAGGAGAATCTAGAGTTACGGAAGAAACAGGTGCGTTTATAAAAACTTTTGGCTGAAAATTCTTTCTTTGAACCATGATCTATGCAGCTTACTTAATTGCTCTTCTGACTGCAGGCGGAAATTATGGAACAGCAGAAAAATCAGGTACACTATGTTTGTTTATCTACTTGTTATTAGCTTCCTGCGAGTCTTAGTGCTCTTTATCTTGAGTTATAGGGTATGCATATGAGTAGTGTTGAATCATTAACAAGATGCACTTAGCTGATTATGATATTATTGTTGCAATACAGGTGATGGAGATGATGAACAACGCACAAACTGGTTCTCGGAAAAAGCTCAGGAGAACGCAAACAGGGCCATGGTGAGAAAGTGGTGCAATACTTACAGTAGGTTTTTTCTTTTGTAAATATTTTCAAGGGAGTGGATGCTTTTCTGTTATTGGATAGCTGAGGATTGTATTTTAGGTTAATAGCTTCCAAATTTATAGTTTCCTTACCTCTAAACATCAGTATTTGTAGGAAAGAGGAAGTGTGACATGTGATCCATATAAACCTGTTGGGATATGTAGTTTTAGGGCATGTCCAATTCTCAACATCTTTTTTTGATGCTTTTAGATTTTCTCTACTTTGTTCAATCTGATTTTCGTAGCTTAGAATTATGCTGTTGGCATGTCGTTTCGCAAAATCAAAGCAAAATTTATTGTAAATTGCATCTCTGATGGGCATTTTTCATCTACATCAATCAGACTTCCATTTATTAGTCATTCTTTTATGAGAATCTAATACTTCTTACTATGAAACTATTGTTTTATGACCCACTTAACTTGAGAATACAAGCTTATAGCTTGATATAAATTAGAAATACGAGCACTGTTATTTATATGTCATTTCAAATCCATTATGTGGCCATTGAGAATATATGGTTGGTAACTACTACTTTTTGTTTTATTTACTGACAACAGTTTGACTTTTACACTATTCACATATCTCACGTTGACTAGCTTTGGTGATTTAAAAATTAGGAAAAATATAGTCATGTAGGATCTTGTTTTACTCGTCTCGATTTATACTTTCATAATATCAATTATTTATAATTTTACACATTGGTAATTAAAGATATTAACGGTTGAAATAGTGTATTGGTAAGCGTGAAAAGAGAAGTGTTGCAAGTATTAAGAAACAAATGAAGTATTTTTTTTTTTAATTTTTTTTTTTCCGGTTGCAAGATTTGCAATATTTTGACTTTTGCACTCACTTTTTACTAATGACTTATGTATTTGACTGTTAGATTTCTAACAATCTTATGTTGTTTCAAGTAGTGAACATTAGGCTCACCATCAACAACACATGATCATACTTCTTTACATTGAGCAATTTGTAATCTAATCTTTACCTGTTCCGATTTTTGTATGATGCGATTATATACGATATCTTTGTTGTATAACATCAATTCAGCTCAACAAAAGCAACAAGCATTCAATACAAACTTCATACTGAGCTCAAAATACACATAGTTTACAATCTTGATTATTTACACATTGCTTTACTTCATTCTGCCTGAGTTTAGGATAAGTAGAAGAGTTCCTTGATGCTGTGTGATCCATATGAATGTAGATTCCACATCTCATCAGCTAATTGCTCATAAACTTTCTCAGTGAAATGGGTTGAATCCCAGAAAACATAATCATTTACATTTTCGCACAATTCAAACTCTTTAACTAGCCTTGCTCCACCACAGCTCCATATCCCTCTAAACTTGCCTGTTCCACAACATGCCGTCTTCCCCTCCTTGAATCCTGTTCATCATAACAAAACACCAGTGAATTCGCAAAGCTGTATTTTCACATTTAACATGCAGAAATCAGCTCATTAAAATCGCAAGAACAGAACATGGCCAGCAGTATTATAGCTTTTGTTTCGGGTTTGTAATGTATCAAATGGGTGTGCAAATTATCGTAAAGTTGGGAGGATGAACATACCGTATTTTGAAGGGTAGTCAATTCTTTGTTGTGCATAAGTGGAGAAGTCATACAATGAAAATTTGAACCCTGGTAACTTCAACTTTAGCTCTTCGAGAACATGGAAAAGAGCTTTGTTATGTAGCATGGCGTATTCTGAAGGCTCTGTGTTACATTCGCCATTTGCGTTAGAAATTCTAGACACAGGGACACAGCCTATCTTTGGCACGTTGAGGAATGCAAATTTTCTGCCTCCTGTATTGTAGATTTCCTGCCAAATCAACAGAAATCCTTATAATGCTACAAACCTACATACAGTACAGCTTTATCTTGGTGTTGGTGTAAAACCAATCATCTCAGGTCCATTTTTGACATTTGCATCTGATGTACGTAGTACTTTAGGGTCTGTTCGTTATCATTGCCTAAATTCTAGCTTTAGAGGGTCATACTTTTGAATATTCTTAGTCCGTATAAGTATGCAAAACAACTATACAATAATGGAACGTTATTACTCAAAATTGATTTTAGTCATCAAAAACACTGAAAGCGCAAATTTTGCAATGATAACGAACAAATTGATCTGTTAGAAATGTGTATATAGGAATAAAACTAAAGAGAAAGGACTTACAGTGATAACATAAGTGATGTTACCAATGACCATGTCAACATATTCGGATTTGGTGTAAGTAGTCAAAATGGAGGAGTTGGTTAAGAATAGGGAAAGGTAGTCATTTGCTCCAATGCTAAACAAGTAGACTGCACTTGTTAACCTCTTTTTAGCTTCAACTTCACCAAATTTGTGCCTAAACAATTCCTCGACCTGCTTGTAATTTTGCAGCTGCATATGGAAATCAATAACCTGCAAATTGATATCGAATCCCATTATAACTCGAATCAAATGGTAGACTAACAGGATCATTGAATAGGTCGTACTCTGTAAGACATACTAGGCCTTGGTTAGTTGAATAATGTTATGGAGTGTATCAGTCAATGTTAAATTGTTAATTGAATAATTAGCAAAGTTTAAAAATTCTCGTTTTGAGCTTATCTAACCCCTTGCTTAATCTTTCTTCATGACAAGGAGTTTATCACATAATTATATATAATTCTGTCAATGACAACTAATTTCGTAGTAACGTATTAGCGTGGAAGATCTAAGTCAAACTCAATTAGTTAAACAAAGTATGATTATTATTATGCTTGTACGTCGAGTTTATACTTTTGAATGGGAAAATTCTAGACAAAATGACTTTATTTTAATTAATTAGAGTTTGAGGTGGGTTAATTCTTAATAAGGCCTTTCAAAAAAAAAAAAAAAAATCTTAATAAGGAAATACGATAATAGGTTGTAGACGGGATAAAATTAACATGTAACACGTAAATTAGTTATCTGCAAACTTAAATTGTATCCAAAATAACTTCAATACTCGTAGTTAGATAGTATGTATATAATTCATGAGAATTTGCTTCAATAACTTGTTGAACTTGAAGATTCCAAGTTGGAGAGAGTTTCAAGCAGAAATGAGCAACAAGCATATCGATCGATTAGTATAATTGTCATTCTTTTGACTTATAGATGTAAATTGATCATAATGTATAAATAATATTTTGAATTATGGTAAATGGAAGAGATTATTGATGGTATATGAAGAATGATGAGAATCATCAAGAACATAATTTTTGTTGCTCCATATCTCATCTACAATTTGTTTATTAGCCTTCTCCGTGTAATGCAAAGAATCCCAAAATATATGGTCATCCACATTATTGCACAACTCGTACTCTTTTACTGGTCTTTTTCCTCCACAGCTGAGTACTCCTCGGAATTTGCCCGTCCCACAACATGCTGTCTTCCCCTCCTTGTACCCTATTTAACAACCATTTACTCAATCAAAATAATTTAACAAGAAAAAAAAAATGAAGTAATGGGATTTATTTAAATTGGCAAAAATTGGCCTCAACAACACCAAGTCTGCCTTGGGTTGATTGGGTGCGCGCGGTAAGTAGCACCGCCTATGAGCAGTAGCCAGAACAACATCAACTATTGTAATGGGTACAGTGTGTGTCATAAGTATTCATTTCTAATTGCTAGGACAACACCAAGTATGCTTATCCATAAGGCCCCTAATTTATGGCATCCGCACCCATTGCAAAAGTTGGTGTTATTTTAGCTAATACTCATCATAGGTGGTGGACTGGTGGCCGCACTCACTACACCTAAATAATAGTTGATGCTATTAAGGCCAATTTCGCATTTTAAAAATTTTGTAATTACCGATTGTTTTGACAATGAGCCCCTCACAATGCAATGTTTAGTTTAGATTTTGTAGTTGCAAAGTATCACTATATGTAGGTTTTCATTGTGCAAATAAAAAAAGGCAAGGAAGAGGCCAGAGAGATACCATATTTGGAAGGGTGGTTGACTCTTTGCAAGGTACTAGTGTAATAATCAAAAAGAGCATATTTGAACCCTGGTAACTGCTTTTCTAGCTCTTTTAAGCCTTGTAAAACAGCTTCGTTATGTAGCCTTATGTAACTTGTAACTTCTTTGTGACAACCGCCATCTCCTTCTGAATTTAAGATTCTAAGGGCGGGTAAACAACCCACTGGTGCCAAATTTAGAAACCCAAACTTTCTCCCACCTATCTTGTATATATCCTGCATAATCAAGACTTCTAAATAAAAAACAACACGATAGATCAACAAGGACTCATACAATAGAAAGAGGGTTGGGATTGATACTGTCTTTGAAACAATATTATAGCCTTAATTACGTACGTTATAATTAAGATTTTAGTATTTTCGAAGCATGATTACGTTATTTCTTATTTGCATATGTAGTCTTACTAGTGAAGCCTGACCTTGATGTCTAAACATTTAACATGTAATGGCAAGTGTCAAATTTTTCATTTGAATTTAAAAGGTAGTCTTTCACTTTATTTATATCATATATGAAAGGTCTAAATATTATTAGCTCCAATGTATTCCCGGATTATTCGACCATATATCTTCCATATATGTTATCACATAAATGAGATGTTTTGTATATGACTCTGATCAAGGTCGTTTTGAACGACCTATTTGTCACTCCTATATTCTCGGTAAAGCTAATAATTAAGAGTTACTAAACTAACGTACGGAGTGATAAAGAGTAGCAATTCAAAATCAATAAATGTTTTTATAGTCACCTAATATAGCTATTGATTGGTAATTTGGTCAATATTACACACTCGATGGAATTGCCAAATGATTTAGGTAGAAATCACGTGTGATGGTAAAATAAGTGTAGTAGTGTAAGTCTATAAACAAGTAAACAAAGGTAGCGGCCTTTGGCCCTTTGCATATAATATACTCCGTATTACCTTCATATGAAGTAATGTCAAAGTTAAAATAAAAAAGGTGGTCCAAAAATGAGGTGAAACTTTAGTGCATCTCTCATTGTCATAGCCATTAATAGATGGGCCGCAAAGCAGCAGCCTTGAATGCCTCTCTTTCAGACTTTTGGAATGGTCCATATTATATTGCTTGCTGCTATATCTTTGTATGTGTTTTAGCTAGTCCCAGCTGTTGGAGATCTTGAGAACTTTTTTACATGCATGGGCACCACTACTTTCGATTTTAAAACTTCATCTTAATTTGTGCTTCAATTTTGCATTATTTAAATCTTCAGTAAGGTCAAACTAACCCCCTGCGCCTAGGTAAATAGTATAACATTACTCATATGTAGGGTAATACGAAAGATTTCTCTATTAAGTATCACGTTATATGTAGGGTAATACGAAAGATTTCTCTATTAAGTATCACGTTGAAGGACTTGGCCTAATGGTAAGGTTTGGAGGATTTATGTTGATTTTATGACTGAATCTCAAATCAGCCACTTTAAACATGTTTTTGGTCTATGTCAAATCATATGACTTTAAAAGAATATTCCAATAGATTAGGTGAGCTTCAACATTACTTATGTAAGTATAAAACAAGTGCATCATTGGTATATGTATAATAATCTTGTTTTTTTATAGGAAAATTCATGAATGATTGACAAAATAATACTCGTATATATCTATAAAAAAAAACAAAGAAAACTTACATTGACCACGGAAGTTATGTTGCTGATGACCATACTAACATATTGAGATTTGGTGTAAGTAAATCGAGTTGATGAGTTTGTCAAGAAAAGGCTTATGTAATCATTTGTTCCAATACCAAAAAAATACACAGCCTTTTGTAACTTCCTCTTTGCCTTTTTTTCTCCTAACTTGTTTTTAAACCATCTTTTCACTTTCTTGTAGTTTTTTAACTGCATATGGAGGTCAATAACCTGCCAAAATAATTCACATTAAACAAATAATAATAGAAACATACAATACCATAAAATATTCAAGTCAAATGAGCAGAAGATATGCTTACTATACTTAATTATATATGTAAAGATTACATTATATCATTATTAATAATAATAAAGAAAAAAGTTGAAGATGATTAAGAAAGCCTTGCACCCTACGATACATACCGAGCCTTTGAATGTTTCAACAAGAGCACCACCTCCGGCAGATGCAAAGTTAACTCCATAGTAAAATCGTCGTTTGTGCGGTTGAAGGTAAGGTTGAATCAATGGAAGATTAGCACGCTCCGCTGAGGAAAATCGAAGGTGCTGGTAAGTCAAGGTCCTTACCATTTTTATTGTTGGATTAATACATGCAAATGAAAAACTAAACAATGGATTGTTTTATGTTGAGACTTTAAACATGTTTATATATGTACACTAGCTTTTTGAATACTTTACCAACTAAACTAGCTAACATGCATGAATTTTATAAAAACATCAGCAATATAATATTACCTATAAAGTCAGAAATGACACGGCCATCAGAAAAACGCCCCGTGGGGTAGTGGAAGAAATTGACTCCATAAGGCCAAAAATTAGCTTGGTCAAGAGTTGTGGTATTGATATAATTGTTGTTGCCAACATCTAAAATAGAGTCCCCAAAGATGAACAAAGAAGTTCTTGGGTGGTGTTTATGATGATGATGATGGGATAAGATGAGGCAATTGATATTTGAGGGAAAGGAAATTAGCAAGACATAAAGAAGAGGGATTAGGCTTTCCAATAACATGGCTTGAGATGATTTTTGGTCCTCTAGTTCGTTTGGTTAAGTTGTTTTTGTGTGGAAGTTTTAATGCCCCACTTATTCACATGTATATATTTTCAAAGCTAAGGTTCATGATTTTTGGTCTTATAATATTTGGGTACCATGAGTTCGACTAGTAGGTCATGTGTCATGTGAAATCAAGTTTGTATATAATAAAGGCACTTTCATGGTCAAAAAGAAGGGAAAGGGAGAGCTCTAGCTATGAATAGAAAGAACGGGTATTTACCCAAAACCAACTATAAAAGTATATTATTTTTATAATAGTGTTGATGTACTAGAGGTTTTATGATTAGGAAGTTGCAATGAAATAGAAACAAACATGGGTATGAATGTGAAATGAATAAATATGTAAACGTGATCTTATAAGTAAAGGATAAGATGGTAAGATTTATATAGTATACAAAGAATAATATGGAGAATTAGTGACAATTTGCTTTGGTTAACGCTAAGTATATGTGTTTAAAATAATGATTACTTGATTTAAGGAATTATGCGAAGTCAAAGGATTTATTTCGTGTATGTATAATTCAAAAGTGTCTGATGATTTGGCGTTAGTTCATATTACAAATGTAATAGGAAACATAACCCCGCCAAATGGTGGAATTGAAGTAAGAGAAAGTGTAATCCTTATTGTGTATTAGCACCGCATGCTTAATGAAAAAAATTGTGGTCAACTCGAAAAAATTTAAAAAAAAAAAAAGAAAATACTTTGCTTTATCAAAGCCAATGTTTCAGGTAAAAGAGTTATGAAACATATTGTTTTCATTTATTCATATTAGACCAACGTGGGAATATTTCTTTTTTCACTCTTTCCCAAAGAATAAAGATCATCTTTCATTATGCATTCTTGATTCTCCATTTCAAACTCTCCCAATATAATACACAAAAACATATCCATATATGTCAAATACTACTGAGTAATTCAAAAATTAGTTACAAATATATTATTGAAACAGTACAAATAATCGGGTCAATGAGGTTGAATTATACTCATTAGGTTGCCAATTGAACAAGATTCTAATGCCAAGTTGATAAAATAGAATATTTGAACCACGTGTCACTTAAGTGAAATTATACAATAAATCGGAAAATTAAAGTATTTTTTATACTCCATACATAATTTACCCAAAAGTCGGAAAAAAAACGTTGAAAGGAATATAGGAGTCGAGGTGGTGGTTGTTGCCACATTGTTGAGTCCCATCTCCCAAAACATTTGGCCATTATCCTCAAAAAATTGGTACATGAAATGACAGAGGAGAACAAAGGCAAAAACCCACTCTCATACACATCAAAAGGAAGTGAAATGAAGAATTGAACAAAGTGGCAACTACTAGAATGAATTGCGAATTTGTCAA